TGTGCAAGGATAAACTTATTCTTATATCAAGAAAAACTATCATATTATTTTAAATGCAAGCACCCAATTAAAATATACACTATGCTTAATTTAAGAATAAGTATTTTTTGATACAAATGTTATAATTCTTGGCGATACAATATTTACTTTTGGATTAAATAAAAGGTATCTTTATGTGAGTTATATGTTATATATGTATATGTATATACAAAAGTTTACAGTCTAAAGTTAACAGAATTAAAGTGATTTTACATAAAAAATAATATAAATATGGCATATATTTTTTTGTAATTTATTTGAAAATATTTGAAATTTTTTATTAGTGTTATTTTTGATCGCTGATATCTTTGAAACGGCTGATCTGAAGAACTTTGACTCTCAGATGTTTTTTGTAGAGCGTGAAATTGTCTATAACTCTTCTCGCTTGGGTGTTGCGAAAAAAACCATTCCAAAGTTATAAGAATTCAAAATTAAAAACTCCCGTGTTATTGAAATGGAAAAACTACAAATGAATTGAGGAAAACCTTAATATTAATATTAAGGGCTCAAATAGGCGCCAACATTTTTGTTTTTTAATGTACTATTAATTTTTCAACACCATTAGAAAAAAAAATAATTGTTTTTATTATTATTATTATGTGATTCTTCGGCCAACCTAATATCACTCCAACATCTAAAATTCAATACATAATAGTACACACATAAATATAATTATGTAATAATTATCACCTACACATACATTTGGTGGTTAAATTCCACTAATTTAGCAGCTCTTTCCTAATTCCAAACCAAATATTAACCACCACAAGAAACAATCTTTTAAAATGTCGGACACTTTCGTAAGTGGGGGATATTTTTAAGAATAGGCCAGTCGTACCAATATTTACTAATCTTAGAATAAATATAATTATATTTATATCCAGTATAGTTTTATATCTTTAATAACAGAATAGAGGGATTTTTTTAAACTTGGTCTAATCGATTGTTAATCTTAAATTAAGAATAAGATTATTTCATTTAAAGTCTTTCTTAACATTTAACAGGCAAGAATAAGATTTGCTTGTTTAAAGAAAGATTAATATTTAGTTTAATGTTAGTTTTAGCCTTGACAATATTAGGTCAATTATCTTGTTTCAACTTTACTTGATTTTAAGCTAAGAAATAAAATCTTTTTTTAGTTAAGGATAGGCTAATATTTAAAAGAAATTTAATTTATTCGTAGCCTAAGCAAATTATACTTAAATCAAGTGAATTTTTTTAAGTATAAAGGTATTCTTACATTTAGAAAACAAGTTTAGGGTAATTATAATTTTTTGTTCCAAATTAAGTTTTCTTTTAAAATACGTGAAAATATACAGGGTGTCGTTATTTTTGTGAATATTTCGGAAACCCGACGTTCAATTGTTTTTCTGTTATCACCATTTTATTTGGAATTTTTTTTTACCAATTTGCTTATTTAATGATATAGAAGCAGTTTTTTGCACTAAAAGTAAAGATTGGCACTCACCCGAAATTAAGTTAAATCTAGTTTACTGGCGGCGAAATTAAAAGGTCAGTACAATTGTGATATAAACTTTTCAAATATTGGATTTAAGAAACTATTTAATAATTTTGCATTAAGATAATGAAATAATTTTTACATTAAGTATTATTCCACAGGAAGGGCACTTTATTTTAACGATTGTATGACATTTGACAACTGTCAACTAACTTAATCCTAACTTCAGTCCGTGACTAAAAACCTGTTGTCAACTTTAGCCCGTAACTAAAACGCCATAAACTTGAAATGTGTATTTAAAATATCACTTAGTATCATGGAAACATGTACGATAATGGGCGTTTTATAGGTGGGAGTAAAAAAAATCGGAGTAATATTGGTGTAATATTATGATCAAAGACATGGCCCCGACGTTCTTCTTCCCCTTACAAAAATATTGTATCGAATAAACGACATAATTTAACAAAAGAAAGTGTCAAAAAAATGTTTCTTTGTCACATTAATGGCCAGTAAACCAACAAAACCATTAAAATGCATTGATATTTCAGTTTTTATATAAATTTAAATTATTTTGGTTGTGTTAAAACTAAGTGCCTAAAAGTCCGATCTTTAATAAAAAGTTACAGGTTTAATGATGCGGAGATATAATAAACATAAAAAAATCCTGTTTTTGTGTCCTGTCTGGCTCATTTGAATTACTAGATATTTCCACTCAAAATTTCTATAAAAATGTGTTTTATATCGTTTGTCAATCAATTATTAACTCTTTTTTGTGCTGTTTTGTAAAAACTATCGCGGTAAAATTCTAATGTAATTAACATAAAACCATTGAGTAAGTAAACTTCTCAATCAAAAATAAAACTGCACTCTGACCTAAAAATCCTCTTTGTTTTCCTTTACAGTAATTCCTTAATGCACCACATGGCTGTAACTTTGCGAATTGCCAAAATCGATTGAATTCGGTTATGGATATTAAGTAAAATTTAAAAAAAATGGGTCAGATGAAATTTCTTGTTTCAATGTTAATTCCACTTTTTATTGGTATATTTTTAAAAAATTAATATTCAAATTTAATTAAAAACAGATTTTAAATTAGGAACAGCCTGTCTTCTTTAATTAGTTAAGAGTTCTGCGTAAAAGTTTTGCATTAATGAAAATATTTCAGATATTTTAAACTACTTTGTACATTTATTAGTTTTATAAATATAATCAAAAAAACTATTTACAAAATAAATAAAATTCAGCGCGCGCTTGGATTGTAGTTGCAAAGCATCATTAAAGGTAAAACTCCCCTAAAAGCAAATATAACTTTCGTTGAAATATAATCTGGGCATTATAGTGTATTTACCTTAATATTTTGCTCACATTTAATGTTCTCCTTTCGATTATAATTTCCATATTAAATCCTTACCATATAATTAAACACAAGGCTATATGTTACATATTTATTTATAATATTTGGATTTTTTTATGTAATACTGTTTAATGTTTGCAAAGGGTTTGTTTTCTAACTTATCCTAAACAAAATTTAATTTTTTTTTGTGTTTAAAATATTCTTATATTTTCTACAAATGCCTAAATTTTGAGGTTTTGTTTATTATAAGCGCCTAGAAAACAAGTTTTTACATAACAACACTTTATTATGGAGTATTTTTCACAATAGAATTCTTTGAGCATAGAGGATAATATAGAACGAAATTTCCTTTGATTTGTTTTTATGTAGACCTGTCTCATACGAGCATAATACATCTTGAAGGCATGCCTATTATAAAAAGAAAATGTCCCATTAGTTTTTACAATATTACAACAGATGAATAAAAAAACATGTCTATTATAAATAATATCACTTGTTTACAGCCATTTTGCCCACCATGTCTCAGTATTATTTCCTTGTGTAGTTTGGCTCACTAAACGCGAAAATCACACTTAAAATTTCTTTCATGGAGATATGAATTTTGAATTGTTTTTTTTAAATTTTCTGAGGTGTTTTGACGTTTTAGAGTATACTAAGTTCTAATTGATCGATTTGACCAAACAAGCACTTAAATCAAAGGTAATTCAGCCATCTACAACTTTCTTTTGTATAGTTTTGGTATCGGCTCAATAGTTCTATACTGGCGATTTTATGAAGTTGAAAAAGTCCTTTTTTTACAAAAATCGAGGTCAAAAATTTACATATCTTTCTGGGAAAGATAGAAATCGAAAAGATAAGTCCAGTTTGATTTATTTTACGTATAGATTATACTTAAAGGAAAAAAATAAGCTGCTGTTGATAAAAATCCATGGATAAATGGCAAAGTTATGAATTTTTCAGTGAAAGACCAAAATTCAGTTTTTCGAGAATTTTTACGTTTTTTTCATTTTATTGAGTTATATAAAGTTTAATATTGAACATTGATTTTATTTTAAACATTAAATATTGAAATTAAATTATACGTTGAATATTGAACAATAAATATTGTACATTGAAGATATTGAAAGTTTTATTTTGTTGTAATAAGCATAGGTTTAAAAAAAAATCTGTTTTTGTTGCTTTCGTATTCCGTTTCTCTTATAAGGGACCAAATGTAATCAGCCATCATGGCTGCACCCCAGAAACCGTGATACCGCCGCTCCATAGCCTTCATCTGCTGGTGAAAACGTTCTCCGTGCTCATCACTAACGTCGTCCAGATTGTCCGGGTTATATACGCACTCGAACTCTCTACTTCTTTTACTTATTTTACACTTTTTATTAACTAAATAAAACCATGATAAAAATACTCTGTTAAAATATCAAAAAATAGCAGTAAAATGTCACTACACGAGAAACAAAAGAATTCACGTTTGCGGAGTCATGTCAAATTTAAATTTTATTAATGTTTTAGGTGAAAAAACTACGTAAAAAACTTAAAAAATTCCAATCATGCACTTTAATTAGGTTTTCATTAAAAAATAAACATATTACGAAATAAAATAAAAATAGTCAAAAAGCTGAATTTTCGTCTTCCACTAAAAAAATCATAACTTCGCCATTTTTTCATGTATTTTTATAAACATTAGCTTGTTTTTTTTGTAAAAATGTCAGCTTCACGAAAAAAAATCCAAACTGGAGTTATCTGTTTGATTTAAACCTTTTCCAGGACGATATGTAAATTTTCGACCTCAATTTTTGCCATAAAAACGAATTTTTTAAGTTATTAAAATCGCTAGCATCAAAATACATATCCGATATCAAAAGTATGTAAAATAAAGTCTTAGAGGGCTCAAATACCTTCAATTTAAGGGCTTGTTTGACCAAATCGATTAATTAGATTTTAAGTTATACTCAAAAACGTCAAAACACCTCCGAAAATTGACAATTGAAAATTCACATTTCAAAAACGCTTTTTTTGTGATTTTCGTGTTTAGTGGGTCAAAATACATGGAAAAATTATAATGGGATATGGTGGGCAGATTTTTTTTTTCGATTTTGTAAACTAGTGTAATTTGCCCTTTTACTGAAACAAGTATTTTTGTTGCAGATATACGGATGAATGAGGAAGTTGGTAACTTTGGGGTAGTGCACTCACTGCCGCTGGAAAATACAGGGTATGATCATAATCACCCGACTTCAAACCTACTCCCTCCTCTTGCTGATAACAGCTGCTATGCAGCAAGACCAGGTCGGCGTCTCAGTACCGGGCGATATTATTTTGGGGGGCCTCTTTCCAGTCCACGAAAAAGGTAAGAAATGTTTACGCAGTTTTTGATCTAGTTTAAATGCATGCGTCTTTTATAAGGCTCAGTAAAATATTAGATTGATCAAATTAAATGGAAAAATTATACATTTTTTTTGTTTACATACAGGGTTTTACCAAATAAGTTTCTTGATTTGAAAATATCGTCCAAGATGACAAAAAAAAAATTCTGATAAAGTTTGAGCTCTTAATATCAATATTAAGAGGTGGCTCATCGCGATTTTTTATTTTCCATTTAAATAACACGGGAAAAATATATTTTTTTGTTTGGAATTTTATTGCGTTCTAACGAATCAGTGAGATGTAAAAATCAATACATGTTCTTGTAGGGAATTGAATGATCTACAAAAAAGATCTGATATGATTTTTTGCATAGTCGACTCTTTTAAAAGTTATTTGAGGTTAAAGTTCAACTACAAATAGTAAATGATGACTTTTATAGTTTTTTATACTCTAGCATGAAATATTGTCTCAAAAACATGAAATATTATATTTTTCGTGAAGTTTATCGAGCGTTCTTCGGTAAAACAATACAATTTTTACAAAATATCAATAAACGTGAAAAAAACGGTTTTTTCCTATATTTAATTTTTTTTTTAATTCGAAATTTTTTCTTTACCTGAGTAATGACAAAAAATTTAATCATTTTCTTAAAAATAATAAATATTCTATTTACACTTGACTATTAGGTAATGTAGAGTAATAAAAGCCATGTTTCAAAAATTTTTTCAATTAAAATAAAAAGTGTTATTCCATAACTTATACTTTTTCACTATCTTAGAATCAAACTAAATTATTCTTGTTACAATTGGAATATTTTTAACGGTGGTTTTTAACTACTCGCAATAAGTATTAAATATACAAATATATATATTTAATTTACCCATTGACTTTTTCAATAAGAATGTAGATTTTTGGACACAGGATTATAGCTATCAAGATAATCTAGTATTTTTCAAACGTCTAGTTAAGTGTAAATAGAATATTTATTATTTTTGAGAAAATGATTAATTTTTTTTGTCATTACTTATGTAAAAAAAAATTCGATTTTTTTTAAATCAAGTATAAAAAACCGGTGTTTACTATTTGAGGTTGAACTTTAACCTCAAATAACTTTTAAACGAGTCGTCTAAGCAAAAAATCATATCAGATCTTTTTTGTAGATCGTTAAATTCCCTACTGTTATTTAAATGGAAAATAAAACATCGCGATGAGCCACCTCTTAATAATAATATTAAGAGAGCTCAAACTTTATCAGAATTTTTTTTTCGTTAACTTGGACGATATTTTCATGGTAACTAAAGAAAAAAAAATTAAAAGTTTTTTTTGGCCCACCCTAATCATCATCCCAAAGGATGACAATTTATTAGATATTTAGAGAGCTATATTATAGTAAAATTTACTAAGTAAATATTACAAGATAGAATCGGGAGGCATTTTTACTCCCTGATCTAGGGAGTTTTAGATTGTTAAGCTATATAATGTTTGCATATCCAAGAAAACTATACAAAAAGCATGTAAGAAAACCAAATCTCATAAAACGGTTCTGTCAACAAAACCATTAAGGTCATTAAGTCATAAGGAGAAGAAAAATGGCGACCTACGTAATTTGATTGATTGATTGTCTGAATATAGGGTTAGCCTGTATTTAGAGGGTCATTACTAGGGATTGCAATCCAGCAGGGTTTTAATCCAGCTGGATTTTTGCTGGATCCAGCAATTTAAAATTAAAAAAAATTTTTTTTTTAAATTAAATATGTACTTAAAAAACTTTTATTTTTATTTTTATTTTCATAAAATTTCTCCACGTTACTCGGGTATTTTTGTGCCGTCACAATTAAAAATTGTTAAACACGTTATAAAATTAATTTTAAAATATTGTTTTACTACTCCCACCTTTAAAACGACCATTATCGTACATGTTTCCATGACACTAAGTGACCTTTTAAATACACATTGACAAGTTGTGGCTTTACGGCGTTTTAGTCACGGGCTGAAGTTAGTTCTAAGTTAGTTGACAGTTGTCAAATGTCATACAATCGTTAAAATAAAGTGCCTTTCTTGTAAAATAATACTAAATGTAAAAATTATTTTATTATCTCAATACAAAAATACAAAAGTATTAAATAGTTTCTCAACGCCAATATTTGAAAAGTTTATATGAACATTGTACTGACCTTTTAATTTCGCCGGCAGTAAACTATAACTTAAATTCTGGAATGGACTCCACTGTAAAGTTCTCATAAAACATTTTCTTTACTTTTACTGTAAAAACTGTCAATTTTCAAGAAATACATTTCGATTTATAACCTTTATAATCTGTGTTTATAAAATATAAAAATTTGACATTTGACGGTGACACACAGATTTCCCTATTGTTTCATAGATGGCGCTCTATAAAATATTTGATTTAAATCATTTCAAGATAATAAAAAGTCTCGTTTATAAACTTTTCTATACACTCATTAATTTAAGAACTGGCCTAAATTAAATTCGTGTATAAAATGGCGTTTACCAAACTTGATACATAATATACTATTATTATGCTTTTAATAAGTTATAAGCACAATAAATATTATATTATAAAATATTAATTTACTAACTTTAATAACAATTTTTAATTGTGACGCGCGGGACAAAAATTACCGAGTAACGTGGAATTCTCCTATAGTAAATTACTATTGGTAATGTGTAAACGTAAATAAACAAATAAATAAATAAATAATATTATTTTTAAAGGCTAAAAAACTTGTATGAAGAAATGTATTGCACTATTTCGTATATTTTAATTTTAAGTGCATTTATACTGTTTTTAACCCCATAATATAAATATAAATTATATCTACTGGACAATTAAATATATGTATGTAGAACATTAAACTGATTTCTACTTTAAAAGCTAGAACAAAATAAATGTAAAGATTATAAAATAATTACCTTTATTATTTTTTATAATTATTATTACATGTTTTGTATTTTTTTGTTCCCAATGTAACTACTGTAATGTAGTTTATAAATAAATTAAAATTAAAATTAAAATTCACTTAAATTATTCATAATTATCACAACAAACAACCCAGCCAAGAAGACACTCATTTAGCATGATACTTTATCAAGCGAGAGCGAAAAGTGCGGTGTAGAAAGGGGTGTAGCACGTGCCGCAAGCGTGAGAGAACGGTAAAGTCGCTGAAAAATGCACTGGATCCAGCTGGATTGCTGGATGAGGGATCCCTAGTCATCACAATATAGTTCTCTAAAAGTGTTAACCTTACTTTTGAAAACAAACTGTTTTTCGGAATTATTTAAACTTTGTCCCAAGGGAAGAGATGTATTATTGATCAATCAATGATCAATCTGATATTTTAAATGGTTTAGTGTTATTGTGTGTTTTGCATGATGAGTTGGTGTTGCAGGAGAGCGCTCGCCATGCGGTCCTCAGGTGTATCATCGCGGGATTCAGAGATTGGAGGCGATGATGTTTGCGATAGACCGCATAAACAGGGATCCGCGTATACTGCCGAACATAAGCCTGGGCGTCCATATACTGGACACGTGTTCGAGGGACACGTACGCGTTGAACCAGAGCTTGCAATTTGTTCGGGCTTCTTTGAATAATATCGACATATCGTCGTTCGAATGCGTGGATCATTCGATGCCTCGGCCCAGGGTGAACTATTCTGGGCCGGTGTTCGGAGTCGTGGGTGGATCTTACAGCTCCGTGTCGTTGCAAGTGGCCAACCTGCTGGGGCTGTTTCGCATACCCCAGATATCGCCGGCGTCGACAGCCAAAGCGCTGAGCGATAAGAGCCGCTTTAAATATTTCGCCCGTACTGTCCCTCCCGACACGTTTCAATCAAGTGCTTTAGTAGATATCGTGAAAAGCGTCAATTGGTCCTACGTTTCGACAATTTATTCCGAAGGCTCGTACGGCGAATACGGAATCGAAGTTTTTCATAGAGAGGCCCAAGAGCGCAACGTATGTATTGCAACAGCTGAAAAAGTTCCTAGCACAGCTGACGACAGAGAATTCGATAATATTATCACGAAACTGAAGAAAAAAGTTAACGCCAAGGGAGTTGTCCTATTCACTCGAGCGGAAGATGCAAGGTATCGAAAACTTTTAATTAAACTTATTCCTACATAACGACCGATTCATTTTTCTGACGTGGCCAATATATTACCAAACTTTTAACCCTAAACCCCGCAAACTTAAAACAACCATTAGACGCGCCTCAAAAAATTTATCCTAAAAGTCACCCATCAAATTTAAATTGACCACTGCTGTTGGACTTGATCAGCTAATAATGCTAATTCAGCTAATAGTTAACTACTTCAGCAATCTTTCTAATAGAAATGGAAAAAAACACCAACAAATTTGTAAATTTATAAAAAAAGAAGTAATAACCCAAGTAGCACAATTTGTTAAATAACTATCATTCTAATCTAAATAAAATAACGTTTTTAAAATTTGTTTTTAACCAATTAGTTTTATTCAACCATTAACATTTTTTAAGGTTATTATGAAACAAAAAATAACCCTTTAAATTTACCAACCGGTTTCTATAACCTTAAGGTAAATTTTAAGGTTATTTTTTAGTATAATTTAACTAATAAAAGAAACCTATTGGTAATATTACTAACTAGTTAAATATTTGGTATATTTATAGTCAATTTAAACTCTTAAAATAACCTACATTTTTCTTTAGGTAATATTACTTATAAGTTAAAAAGTAGGTTATTTTACGTTATATTAACTTATAATTTTAACCTTTAAAGACTAGTTATTTTTTAGACATATTTTGGTTCAGTTTAACTTTTTGGTTAATTTGGATACATTTTTTTAACCAACAAGTTATATTTTACCAAATATATTTTAACTCGCTGGTAAATAAACGTTAATTAATAAACTGGTGAAAAAAGTGATAGTTTTACAGTTTTCATTGTTACCTGCATAGAAAAATTAGTCTCAATACAGCTTTATATACAAACCTATAGGTTGTGAACCATATTTGGTAAGTTATAATTATGTAGAGTTAAAATAAACTTAAACGGTTATAGTTTACGTTGACTTGAGTTAAAAAGTAGTTAAAAAGTATAAAATAAACCAAAAACTACAAAATATTAACTTTTTTTAACCAAAAGGTATTTAACTAAGTTAAATTTAACTAACATAACGTTAATTTTACCATAATTGAATTCTCCACTTATTACAAATTTAAGGTTAATTTAACGTTGTAGTACAATATTACTTAAATGAATTAACCAGGCATAAAGTAAATTTAACGTTAATTTAACCAGTTGTGCTACTTGGGAATATACAGTATGTCTCCGTATTGCGTTTGCAAGGGAGATTTGTTTTTATTTTTGGGTTTTCGAAGGAAAGTCATTCTTGATAAAAAGTTTTGATTGTCGAAAAAATAATATTGTGATTTTATCTACAGTGTGTTGAAAAATTCGGCCAGTGTAGCTGGTCAAGTCAGCCCTACTAAATACTATTGGTATACGCGTTAAAACGTTTCTTTGATAATTTTTTCTAATTTTCTAATCTTTCAGAATTAAACAACAGTTCAAATTGCTTAGACTGAGTAGCAAAATCAAAGGATTTTTTAATTTTTGTTATTTTTCCGTAACCAATAAACCTGATTGGTTAAATTCAAGGTGTAATTATAACTTAATATTAGGAAACTAAAAATTAAAAAGGCAAAATAAAACTGTTTTTTTTTATTAAAATTATTCCGACAGATGTCGGACGGCTTTAACCTCACATTTGGTAACGCCATACAAGGAAGAATTTTAATTGAACACTGGCAACATAGTATGCACATTAAGAGATTGCTTTGATAATTTTTCCCAAGAGAGCCGTCCAAAGCTTTTAGCAAACGTTTAGTATGGTAATCACTTTTTTAATACATTTCATACATTATAAAGCTAAAAAACATATTTCCGGCGACCCTTTTTAATTCAGCGATAGAATAATGATGAGTCATTATATGCCGTATATTAAAATGCTTTAATAAGCATATTGTCGCTAATTGTTTATTATGTTATTGGTCCGCTCAGCTTCATCATTATCCTAATTTGTTTTCAATAAAAATGTTTTAATTATCTCCTCTTTGAAAACAGATTATTTTCACCCGAAAAAAGTAATTCATCCTTTGAAGTTTTATTGTATAGATAGCTACGGTATAAGGAATTTGCTTGTTAATTAATATTTTTACACTCTTTAATTTACTTTGTTGCTCTTAAGCAGAGGAAAATCAATGCGCGTAGTTTTGTATGGAACGATAAACGAAATGGGTTTTATTGCATTTGTGGCAATTGAACTTAAATTTATTTCAACAAATTTTATTACTAGCGAAGCACTGCCTAATAAAATACGTAATAAAATAAAAATTAGCTTAAGAGCGGCGGAATGTTAATTCAATAAAAATATGCAAGAAGTGCCTTAGTCACAAATAGGTGATTCTGAGATGTTGCGGTTTATTTTTGATTGTGAAATATCACACAAAATATTATGATCAAAATGTGTGTTGTATTGTATTCTTTGTGGAAAGTGGATTGGATGATTAAAAAAGAAAAAATGTTTTGTTATTTGTATCCAAAACAAATTTATAATAATTTGGGGCTTAAACACTTTTTGTGTTGAAATGTTTTTATTTTGTCAAAAATTACTGCATATTTTGAGGAAAAATTTGTTTATATTTAAAAAAAGGTTTATTATATTAAAACGTGTAAACGAAACTTAAGACTAAGAAGTAACTAAGAACATAATAAGAAGGCTGGCTTACATAAACAGCGTTGGCCTATTGTAACTTATCAATTTCTTTATCAATGTCATCATTTTGCTGGATATAAACACACAAACCGAATTCTAATGGAATTGGTAATTACATTAGTATACAGTGGAAGTCAAAAAATACCTCCCACCGGTAACTATCTAAACGCATCAATTGCACACCAACTGTTTAATACAAAGATAGGATTGCAACGCGAAATAAAACAGCCGAGACAAGACAGGAACAACCCGACACGGACAGAGACAATAACGTTACCACGATCAGTAAACTAGGCCCCTGCAGCGAACTAACAACTCCCCAACTCCAAACGATTCCGCGTCGTATTTAGATTTGAGTCGGCGTAATTGTCCCTCAAACACCAAAATGGACTACCTTTTTCATGATCCTACTGGGCGTATAGCATCGGCCCGGCAAACCCGGGAATGTGACTTAGGCACTTCTTGCATTGACTCCTTCAAAGTTAACCTTAAAATTCGATCTCTCTTTATTGGTTTATATTGTGAATGCTGATTTTTAGGAGAATTTTACAAGCCGCTAAGCGTATGAACGCCACCCATACATTTTATTGGGTGGCTAGTGACGGTTGGGGTAAGCAGCAAAAATTGCTGGAGGGGTTGGAGGACGTGGCCGAAGGAGCAATCACCGTCGAACTGCAATCGGACAACATACCCGGGTTTGACGAGTATATGATGTCCTTGACTCCAGAGAATAATACGCGCAATCCGTGGTTCGAGCAATATTGGGAAGACACGTTCGGATGCGTGCTCGAGAAAAACGTCCCCTTGGAAACCAACAGCACTTTCAATGTTTGCGACATGAATTTGAGGCTCTCGCAGAGTGTGGGGTAAGTAATGTTTAGTTGAGGGTATTCGCACAAAAAAATCCTCGTTATATAATTTTAATTTTAATTAAAAATAAGCACACGCTAATGATTTAACAAGAAACTCACTGGTTAATTCAAAGAATAACAAAACAGCCCGTTTTGAATTTTAAATTGAGATACAAACAATACAAAGCACGAAGTTGCATGCTACCTACTGGCCTGACGTTCCTAATCGAGTTATTCGAATTTTATCGAAAACACCCTTTTGGAAGTCGTATACATCAACGGCAGGTATTTTCTCTAAAATCTCGCTACAAACGTAAAGCTTTTGACTTTCGGTATAATTGAGCGAGCAAAAAATGAACTAAAAAGAGTTTAATGAGTGGAAAAACGTCAGAAACTCAAAAAGCTATTACGAGAATTGCTGCTTCATTTTTATTATTATTTATATAGGCCATTTCATGATAAAACAGACAAAACTTCAAGTTTAGCAGCAAGAACATGTTTTTTATTTTAAATTAATGCATTTAATTACAAATCGATTTTTAAGTAATGCATAAATAAGGCCATTACGGCAGATGAATTAATTTATTGAAAACGCAATTTATGTGTTTTATTATTATTTAATTATTTTGCAATATCCGGTTAAATCGGCAAATTAAAATTTAATGGCATCCCTAGAAATTTATTTATTTTAATGATTTTTCCAAGCGATGAAAGACAAATAGGAACTCAATTTTTAAAAGCAAGAAATTATAAAACCGACTTCTTTTTAAATGCAAATTGCTACAACTTTATTAAGGTCTTTTAGCATATTTTACTTTAAAATTGTTTTATTTACTTCGGGATATTGAGTTTAACGGCATAACGCGTAATAAAACGTTTCTATTGAATAAATGCTCAACCCACATGAAACGATTTAATAAAATAAAGTTAAATACACTTGAAAAAAAATCGACTGGGTTTGAAGTGGGTTTAATAAACGTCAAATCCCAAATAAATAATTAATTTCTCGATCTCTTAGGGCCACTCGAACTTTGGGCTAAATTGTAAAATAATAATTGTTAAATTTTTAATCACTCCCACTTCAAGCATCAATTGTTAATCGCACCCGGTAAAATGGCTCGTTGTTATAAATTGATGCGATGTACAAACACTTCTAAACAATCGGCCCAAATTTCAACTTGTAATGCTTAGCAAAGACAATTATGGATCCTAACATTAATTATAAGGGACCTGCTCGAAAGTTCAATTAAAATGAGAAACGAGAAATATCCACCACTCATAGTTAATATAGGAATTATCTCACCATTTGGTGGTAAATCTTGATACATCATATACTATTTTATATTTAGTATTTTATTTTGAAATTTATAATTCAATTATTTTTAATAACGCAATTTTGTATACCACTCAAACATTTTTTTATCAGAAAATTTTAGTTTGTTTATTTTTTATATAATAGAATTATAATACAAAATTAATGGGTAAAATGTTGTTTATCCGAACTCGGCAGTAAAGTAGTCAACAAGTTTTACTTTACTGCCGATTTAATACGAGTATTCTATGCAACCCATTATATATATATATATATTTAATATGTGTCTACTGCTCCTCAGCAGCAATTAAATAATATTTTAAAAAAAGCACCGTCGCGGAGGTTGATTGGACCCTTTCATAAAATGTTGTTTAATAAAAATAATAAGTTAATTTTATTAATTAGATTAAAAAATCACCGCGGCGGGCAAATATATAATAACCGTCGCAACAAACAGTATACGTAGACACTTACATTCAAATGACATTTGATTTGATCATTAAATGACATTTGATTTAATAATCAATATTAATTATTAGTATTATTAAATGTGATTTCGGATAAAATTTAATATGCACCTCGGCATTAAAGTCATTTTTTATTTTTTATTTTATTTTCCACATTCGTGATAAAAAATACGACTTTACTGACTTGATACATAAATAATTAATTTTAATTGATTTAAAAGTTTGATGAGTTTTAGGAAAATGTATTTCGATGAAATTTTTTTTACAGTGGTCTATTTTAGGTACGAGCAGGAGAGTAAAGTACAATTTGTGGTAGATGCAGTGTACGCTTTTGCTTTGGCACTTCATAATCTTTACGAGGATGTGTGCAAGGACTATAAAATGGGGGGCGTGTGTCCTGCGATGACCCAATACGATGGCGGGGACTTTTACAAAAACTATCTGCTTAACGTTTCTTTTGCCGGTAAGTGCATGCTTTTATGGCCGCCATTGCCCTGAAAATGGCACCCGAAACAGGAAACAAATTTAATTCAATTAAAACCTCGAAACAAATTAAGCTTGTGTGTTTTTTCCATTGGAAAGTTAATATAACAATACGAGTATACGTAATTAAAATGACCAAAGTTTCATCGGTATTTAATTTAATCCCAAAACTTATCCTGACATAATCTGGCGCATTATTCACTTTAAAACAAAGCCTATTCGCTTTGTTATATTAACAATGACCCACAATTGAAAAATCATCGATTATCAAATATCTTTAAAGAACAGTTTTTGGTGTTACTTTGCAATCTATACATATGTAATTCAGACCTAAAGGGCTGAAATTTTGACAGTGCATTCCTATAATCACATAAATAACCGATAAAAAAGATTTTTTTGAAATCTTATCTCTAAAGGAGCGAATAACCACAAAATTCAATTTTAATCCCGGCGCATTCGCCATTTTTGAAAGTATATTTAATTTATTAGATATTCTAATATTTAAACAAAATTCGCAGTAGCAGCATAAATTTTAAAAAGCATTTAACAGATTTATTGGATATTCTAATATTGAAACAAAATTCGCAGTAGCAGCATACATTTAAAAAAATGGTAGCACATATTTGTTGTGTTTGATTGTAATTTAATTTAAATAAATATTTGTTAATAAACTAAATTGATAAATTAAACTGTAGTAGTAGTTTTTGATAATATCGAACATTCTTATTAAAAAAAGTTGATCAGAACTAAAAACTACGTTTATATATGCAATGAAAGTCATTTACATGGAAAAATCGTTTTTTCTTTTTTGTTAACAATAACAATGCAAATGTAACTTTAGTTACATGTAATCTAGGATGCATTGACAAAGAAATGATTTGTTGATAGCAAAAAATGTTTAACATTGAATGTTAAAACATAAGAATTTGCTTATTACTTTCTGAATGAAACGGAAAGGTTATCATGTTTGTAATAAATAAAAAAGATAAATATTCGGTATCCATAATTTGAGAAAAATTTTTCAAAAATTTTTTGAAGTAGAAAGATGTAATTGCATATTAAAACATAGTTTTTGATTCCGAACAACTTTTCATAATTACAGTTTTCGATATTGTCATAAATAAAGGTACTTTACTCTTTTAACAAATTCATATTTTTTGTCAAACCTCGTATATGACTAAAAAAATTTAATATCTGATGATTTTATTTTAGATTTTAGAACAACAATGACCCAGCGCATCCTCCAATTGAAAAATCAGCGATTATCAAATATTTTCAAAAGTTTTTGGTGGTACTTTGTAATCTATACATATGTAATTACAGACCAAACCGTTAGGCCTAAAGGGCTGAAATTTTGACAGTGCATTCCTATAATCACATGAATAACCGATAAAAAAGATTTTTTTGAAATCTTATCTCTAAAGGAGCGAATAACCACAAAATTCCATTTTAATCCCGGCTCATTCGCCATTTTTGAAAGTATATTTAATTTATTAGATATTTTAATATTTAAACAAAATTCGCAGTAGCAGCATAAATTTTAAAAAATGTTAGCACGTATTTGTTGTGTTTGATTGTAATTTTAGTATTGTTAATTTAATTTAAATCAATATTTGGTTACCAAACTAAATTGATAAATTAAAAAGTAGGTATCGTATGAAAATTAACGATGGAGTCATATATCACAATTCGCGGCAAACGAAGCAGAATAAATGGAAGTGATTTATAGGGTATTTTGCCCCGTATTTACCATAGGTCTATGGCATATAGACAAAAATGATTATTGTCTATAAAAAACGCTTTAAACGGGCATTTAAACGTCAACATTTTTGATGGGTTCGCATTTAACGTAAAAACAATGAATTTATTCAGTTGGCGTGTGCGAATAAATTATGTGCTGTTTTGTTTTAGATTTGGCCGGTAGCCCTGTCAAATTTGATCACAGCGGCGATGGACTGGCGCGCTACGATATCCTTAACTATCAAAAGCTATTTAACGCTTCGGGATATCATTACAGAGTAAGTAAAATTTCTGTTTTATTTCGTACGCCCTGGTGCAATTTCATAATTGCGCTGCAACAGGTGACGCACTTAATTAATAATTAAACAATCTCAACGTCTACTTTCCCAATTACGGTGGCAGCAATAACATTTGGTTTCGTGTTTTTTTCTTTGCTCATCTTCTTGCTGGAATATTTATACTTGTAGTTTTAGGATGTCGTGTCTGGCTTCTATGCTCCATTTAAGATTAAATTAATCAAGCCTCGCATGCAAATCTACGATAAATTAAATAGCTATTAAGTCTCTAAATAAATTCTAATGGCACAACGGGCGCTTGACAAATTTGTTTGGAAAAATATCCACCAATATTAATATCTTTAATTAAACTACAACTTAATTTATCCATTTTAATCATTTTTATAGATTAAACTTTCGGTGGCATTTTTTTTATTAAAAAACATAATATCATTGTTTTAAGAGGTAAAAACAAAGATGATATACAGGATATGTCAGTTACATCGAGTTGCTCCCTTGTTTTGTAAAAAAAATTCATAATTTTTTTATTAAAAAAATAGTAGGTCTAATGTGCAAAAACTTGTTAAGAATGGCTCATAATTATAACGGATATGATGGATCCGCGCCCTCAGGCATTTTTTAGTGCTGTTCAAAGGGCTAGTGAAACTGGTAGCTTACGGGAGAGTTTAAAGGGTTCAAGCTTTGAAGTCGGAGGATTTTTCACGCAGTCAATTTTTTCAACTAGCTTTTTGATGCCAGCAATTCGTGGGCAGACGTTGCGAATGGCATGTTATTTACCAAAGCGTTAAGAAATTATCCCTGGTTTTATGAAAGATTAACCTGAAAATGTAATATATACTTGAACAGTTTCCCAATTTCACAAAAAAAGTATATAGATATACAAAAGATGGCACTAATCGAAAATAAATCGTATTACTGTTCTTTAAACATGGATTGATAAAATTAAAGAAGTAATTTTCAACAGTAATAGTGAATTAAAGAACTAATGTCATAAGACGTCATTTTGTTGCACGTGGACAATTTATAATTTGTAATGGACGAGTGCGACAGAAGGTCTTATGGCATGAGTTCTTGATGCTATTTTATCTATTTTGCAAAAATTCTATAAAAAAAAATAATTTTATACCTTGAATTTAATTTGGTCAAAAATCGATTCGCCATGCCGTCCTTAATTTACTTATTTACAATAAGCGGCTGTTAATGTTAAAGAAGAAAAAAAAGATTTTTTTGGTGTTAAACAAAATTTATTGCCAGAAAAGTCTCGTAAGTAGTAGAAAAATTATAAAAATATTAGAACCAATATGCAAAATATTGTGCTGTTTAAAGTATAGCCAACCTATAAAATCAAAATTTTGGGTGGGATAAAGTATCTCATTACAGCACCAAAAGCGGTGTTATAATGAAGTCATTATGAACGCAAAATGGATAAAATTAATTTTAAATAAAATATAGCGAAGGGCGCATCATAGAGAAGCGCGATATTTTAATTAGAATAAATTTCCGAACTGCCATGATAGGTATAATACGAATTGTTTGTTCTACTAAATGGCATTCTTAACGGAATCAGGCTTTACCTCGAAAATTGAGTCATTGTGTTTGTAAATCCGCTTACAGAGAGAGAGTAAAGTAATTTGCCATTGAAAAGATATTCTCAATTGCCGGCGGCTTGAATTTACATGCAGAAGGCAATAGGTATATGTATAGTTTGTTATGAGGAAATGTTTTGTCTACTTATTGTGGACAAAAAGGAGTATGATTGGTCGATTGTCACTTATTATTGAGTTGTAGATTCAAATATTATGCATCCGCCGAGAATTCGCATAAAATATTCATAAGGGGCCCTATTTTATTGTTATTATTGACCCAGAGGATTTACTTTAAAAATAATATATTGCTTCTGACGACGTTCAATATATATATACACTCGATATACGGTCCTAATTTATTCTTTTGAAAAAACACAATTCTAACAAATTGATTTTGAAGGGCTCTAGAGAAAGATTCAATATTCGATCTCGAGATGTAGATACGTACGATCGAGTTAATGTTATTTTACACGTGGACAGGATGTTACATCTATAAAAATGATTTTTTATCGCACCCTTAACTTTTATCACTCTCCATCGCGCCGTTAAACATTTAATTATCCCGCCGATAAAATTATTATTTCAGGTCGTCGGCAAGTGGTTTAACTCCTTGGAGTTGAATTCGGAGTTTTTGGTGTGGGATCACAACTCCACGGTCGCGCCGACATCCGCGTGCTCTCTACCCTGCGAAATCGGCATGATCAAGAAGCAACAAGGCGACACTTGCTGCTGGGTGTGCGACAAGTGCGAGGAGTACGAATACGTGTACGACGAGGTCACCTGCAAGGACTGCGGCCCCGGATTCTGGCCGTACCCCGACAAACTGGCCTGCTATCCGCTGGAACAGCAGTACATGCGCTGGGACTCCCCGTACGCCCTGGTACCGGCCGCTTTCTCCTTTTTGGGCATTGTGGTCACCATGGTGATAATGGGCTTGTTCGTCAAGCACAACGACACCCCGTTGGTGAGGGCCTCGGGCAGAGAGTTAAGCTACATGTTGCTCTTCGGGATTCTTCTATGCTACTTGAATAGCTTCGCTCTTCTGGCCAAACCGACCACTGCCACTTGCATCACGCAACGCTTTGGGGTCGGCGTGGGTTTCTCCATTATATACGGGGCTTTGCTGACTAAAACTAACAGGATTTCGAGAATTTTCGACTCCGCCTCCAAGTCCGCCCAAAGGCCGAATTACATAAGTCCTAAATCGCAGGTAATCATTACGTGCACTCTGATTGCAGTTCAAGTGCTGCTCACTTTGGTGTGGATGATTGTGGAACCACCCGGCACCAGATTTTACTACCCGACCAGAAATCAAGTAAGTTAAAAACTAGTTTTGTAGTGCATGCGAGATATCTACACTACAGTCGGGTGGTTTTTATAGTGTACATTTGTTTACTTTAAGCTGATTAAAATATTGATTTAATAATTCATGCATACACATTGTAGTATTACCCTACATATTGTCTTTGATAACTGTAATAATCTTGTGTGCTCTTGGAAAATATTACATACTTTACTTTCATCTAAAAAGCTCCACGCTTGGAAATTTATTTTTTATTATATTTAAAAGCAACGTTAGGAGGAAGCGTTTATTTTCAAATTATTCCAAAATTTAATGAATTAGATTTTTTATAATCAATAATCCTGCACGAGAATATTTTAATTTTCCCACTAAACCATCATATTTTTGGCTTTAGATATTGCATTAGGTATTCGAAAAAAAAATCAATAACTTGTTATGCGCTTTCTGAGCCAGATAAATCCTATCTATTCAGTATTTTTAATATTAGAAATATTCGGTTGAATATATTAAATTCCGACATTTAGAACTGCTATTATATTAGTATTTATATTTGGCACCATTTGTTCAATTTAAAAATATAATTAAGTAAATAAATCTCATAAATTCGTTATAATTAAATTATAGCAATAACGACGGTACGCTGATATTATTTGAATACGTTTTTTATAAACCCTTGAGGCGGTTATACAAAATATATTGAAATTAATAGCTTTGATTATCAAACAATACACAACGGACATCTAACAATAAACAATATAAATTTTAATTTATTAATCCCTGATATTCCACATCAAAGGTTGTATTTTGGGATGTAAATGCCACAAATGTAATCGTCACCTTTAAAATCTGCAGTAATTGATAAGCCGTTTAGTATTCTTTATAATAAATCATTAAACCCCAGCTTTTTTACAATGTACATGATTAATGCTTCATTGTCTATTGCAGACTGGTAAACAATTAATATAATGAAAATAATAAATTGCATTTAATTCTGAAATATCATGCAAACAAACAAAACTTGGGTAATAAGAAACTCACTCGTACGGTGGATTATTCTGCTTTAAACGGAAAGTTAACTTTTTTAATTGTCTTTAGGTTGGTACGACTAAATTTTTGTTTAAGCGTTAACTTCACTATGCTCACTATACACAAAAACCGGTATCACACGGTGCGTTGCGCTTGTCATGAAAAAAAATCGGTTTGAATCACTGTGTGATACAGACGCGTAGGTAGGGAGTGAAATGAAACTATAAAGAAAATAAGCTTGTTAGGATTTCTAAAAGAATCTCAAATAACCTTATTATTAAGAGTTTGCCAAGCAGTGTATAATAAATTGTTGTCGAACTTTTCGGAGACAATAAGTCAACCAGCGCAAAACAATTGAAACAACAGCAAACTGAAACTTTATTTTATATTTGTGTGGCGGATTTTTTCGTCCGAAATATTTTACGTTCGCAAATCATTTATTTATCTTGCTGTTCCGGAAAATTTAGGAACTTTGAATATTGGATTGAGTGAGGACTTATCCCCTAATGAAATTATCATCACCCCTTTTTGTTTTCAGGTTATATTGAAGTGCAAAATCCAGGACATGTCGTTCCTATTTTCGCAATTGTATAATATGGTTTTAATTACAACATGCACAGTCTACGCCGTTAAGACCAGGAAAATACCCGAAAATTTTAACGAGTCCAAATTCATAGGCTTCACCATGTACACTACCTGCATTATATGGCTAGCTTTCATTCCTATTTACTTCGGAACAGGCAATTCTTACGAGGTAATTTCACTTTAATTAAATTTACCCCGAAAATTTACACCAACAGATATTTGTTGGCTTACATAATTTTAACACAACACAACAAGCTCAAAATGTATCAAACTGGAAAAACTGCAACCACCACTGCTAATTAATACATAATAAACTAGGTATAGGGTAAACCCTGATAGCAAAATTTGATTTTAAAAATCTTCTAAGAAGATATGACCCGGAATAATGGAATATTCTTAGAACCTTCCCTTATTGCTATGTTCTTAGGGACTTTTAAAACATTCAAATTGAATGATTCAATAGATACCCTTTTAATGATGCTGTTAGATTATTAAAAGCTTCTTAAAACCTTCCTAAGAAGCATCCTAAGAACATTTTAAGAATACGTTTTTGGAATGTTCTTAGAAGGTTTCTTATGGAGCTTCTAGGAAGCTTTTGAGAATATTTTCAAATATGTTTCTAATATGTTGTATTCTACATTCGTAAAATTCTTCAGGAGAAGACAAATACGCCTCACTGTCATAATATGACAGTGAAATGTATTTATCGTCCCCTTAAAAAAAATTGCGACATATTAATATATATTTAAAAATATTAAATAATTATTATAATATAATAACATTATTTCATAAAAAGTAAAATTGGAAAAATTTTGTGGGGTAAGTCAGATAAGATTGAAGTTGAAGATAGATTATTTTATACATAAAAATGTTAATTCAGAAATAAAAACTCGGTATACAAATTAATAAATATTTATTTTTAACATAAAATAAAATACCTATAGTAAAAGTATTTTTGTTATTGAATATTGTTTAATTTGACAAACAACTAATAAATAAAAAAATATTTTGGATTGTGTTTTTACTTAGTATTTAATACTAATTACTAATTAGGTACTTAAGTATAGGTATATACCTTTATACGTAGTTTATGGTATATTTTACTATTATATAGGTAACTGAACTAAATATGCTTAACAGGAATATTCCTAAATGAACTTTCTATAGCAATTACTTTCTTAACATTCTAATCATATGTTTAGAGTAGACTAATTTTTACCACTAAAACATTGCACCTTCTAAGAACCTGCCAGTAAGAATATTCTTAGGATCATGCTATATGTCTTTTAAGCATGTTCTTTAGAAGAAATTTAGCATGATCCTAAGAATATTCTCACTGGAAGGTTTAAAAAACATTTTTAGAATAAAGTGTGCTATCAGGGAAGGCTCTCTTAAAATGAATTAGTCAAAAATAACTAATTATAAGTTATATTTCATTAATTGTCATAGCGAAAAAGCAAATTCTACTAAATGAAATAGTCAAATTAGTGGATTTAAATTTAAAAAAAGTTCTGACCCAGCCGGGGTTTGAACTCAAGTCTGTCGCTTGTCAAGCGTATGTCATAACCAATGAGCCATCAGTCACTTTTATAAAAATCAATTTTATTTGTCTATAAATATTGCTCATAATATTTTAAAGTTGAATATATTTTTTGTGTTGCTAAACTTGTTGCATCTTTGTTTGTTCCGGTTTAACCGAAAGTGGCATTTTAAACAAAATATTTTAGAAAAATACTTACTTAAATGCACTATAAACTTCTAACGGACAACGAATGTAAAACACCCCGTGTACAAATGAAGTTGCTGCTGGGACCCCATTTATAATCTAAAAACTTTGTTTTGAAAGATGGGTGATATTTTTCAGACGCAGATTACAACCTTGTGCGTGGCAACGAGCATGAATGCTACAGTGGCTCTCGTTTGCCTGTACTCTCCGAAAGTTTACATAATAGTGCTCCATCCCGATAAGAACGTCAGAAAGCTGACGATGAACAGCGCGGCCTACAAAAAATACAACTCCGGCCCTGCATCGACCTATTCGGCATCAACGCAAAAAGGTAAAGTAATTATTATGCGGAATGTCGAAATGTTTGCTTGAGATTCATCCGATTTTTGTGCTCGCATTGTTTATCTCTATTTAATCAGGCAAAGTTGTCGGGAACTTTTGCCGAAAAGTACCCCAGATATAGTAATTTGAATAGAGCAGTGATTCGCATACACAACATGGATTTACATGACGCAAAGTTCGCCGCTTAAGTTTTGCCTTCGATTGGTTAAAAGTTTCTGAATTTATTTACTTTTCACTGCCATGGCAACGGCAAGGGGTTAATTTAATCGAGAATGTTTTATACAGGTTATGTATCAAAATATAGGACAATTAAAATGCAAAACACTATATACTATATATTTCTATAAAAGCCATAAATTTTAACTATAATTCCCAGAACTGGACTCTTCTATACAACCAAAATGTTCTGTAAATCTTCGCGTTGTATACAAAATTCTCTCCATTAAAACGTATAATACAAATGCTATTTTGAAAGCTGAGCGTTAAAATTTAATTTACATTTTATTTGGATTTGCCCGAGTAAATGGCCGCTGGACCAAAGGCTAAACAAATTGGGAACCGGTCAAATTAATTATAAAAATTTATATATTGCAAACCCTAAACAAAGTTAAGGCATCATTTTATTATTAAATGGCATGTTAATAAAATCACCAACTAAATTTTATTTTATTTTGTTGTATTTCTATATATAAGATTTTTTTATTAAAATTAATTTTATACTCACAAAAGAGTAAATAATAAAAATAAATACCAATAAACACAACGAAATGAAGTTAGTTTTAAGTTAGTTGACAGTTGTCAAATGTCATACAATCCTTAAAATAAAGTGCCCCTCTTTTATAATAATACTAAATTTGAAAATTATTATAATTTCTTAATATAAAAGTTTTAAATAGTTTCTCAACGCCAATATTTGAAAAGTTTATATTCAGTTGTACTGACCTTTTTATTTCGCCGGCAGATTTAACCTTCTTTATCTCAGGATTTAACTGATTTCACCTTAAAGTGCCTACTATTACCTATCTTTACTTTTACCTTCACTGTAAAAAAACTGTTTCTACCGCTTCTGCTTTTATCGGTTTTTAGTTAGGTAGTTTGTTTTGATTTACAAGTAAAAATTTGACATTTGACATACCACACAGAACACAAGTTAAAATGGTTAGGTACTCTGTTGTTTTATAGATGTCGCTCTATACAAATAATTATTTTAAATCATTTTTAGACAATAATCAAAATAATTAAGTATTTAGCTCGCTCGTGGCTAAAATGGCGTTTATAAAACTATTGTATACATAACGTAAGAACACCCAGTATAATTTGGCGTAAATAAACAAAGATGTATGAAACTTCTTAAATGTTTCCAGGCAAAATTTAAGGTCCTCAAAGTTTTGCATTATTAAAAGTCTAAGCTCCGAAATCCATCGTACACGCTCGAGAAATTTTGGCTTTGTCACAGTAGCCTTCGACAATATCATTTGACCTCTTCTGTCCAAAAATCCATATCGGCCAATTTGTAATAACTTTTGATGATATTACTTATCTTTCACTGCGTACGCCCAACCCATAACCAAATTACACATCTGCTTATTACCTATTAAAAGTTTATATTTCTACAACACGATAACTGCATACCAAACATAATTGCTTTATAAGGTAGTTTAACTAAGCCAAGTTCTGTATATTCGGGTGTGGTTATTTCCAAAGTTGTTTTTTTTTGCTTAGGTATTATAATTATTTGTTTACAGTCCTAAAAAATTTTTTGAAAAAAAAAACGAAGATAAAAATTTGAAATAATGCAATATTTTCATTATATATTTTTTCTGAATATATAAGTTGTTGTTTTTACTTGGGTATCATCTAAATTATTTTTTTACAGTTGAGAAACAATTTTGAAAAAAGTATATATATTTATTTACTTTTAATTTTTAATTATTTCTTCTACTCACCTTTAAAACGTTCATTATCGTACATGTTTCCATGACACTAAGTGACCTTTTAAATACACATTGACAAGTTGTGGCTTTACGGCGTTTTAGTCACGGGCTGAAGTTAGCAACAGGTTTTTAGTCACGGGCTGAAGTTAAAGCTATAGCTTTAAGTTAGTTGACAGTTGTCAAATGTCATACATCGTTACTAAATGTGAAAATTATTTTAATATCTTAATACAAAAATACAAAAGTATTAAATAGTTTCTCAACGCCAATATTTTTTTTAATAATAATAAACTTTATTTCCAACAGGAATACACCCAATTACAGGAAATGTAAAAAGAAAAAAAGTTAAGATAAAGATATAACAACATAAAAAAAGAAGTTAATATGAACATTATACCAGACTGCTAATAAAACATTTTCTTTACTTTCACTGTAAAAAACTGTTGTTTAATCCATTTTCAAGGGATACATTTTGATTTATTATCTATGTTTATAACACATACAAATTTGGCATTTAACGGTAACACAGATTCCCCTATTGTTTTATAGATGGCGCTCTTTACAAATTTTTGATTTAAATCATTTTAAGATAATAATAAGTATTTGTCGTAGAAAAAGTATAGCATGCACTCGTTTATAAACTTTTCTAGACACTCGTTAATTTAATTTAAATTAAATTCGTGTATAAAATTGCGTTTATCAAAGTTGATACATATTATATATTTTAAATTGTTCTTGTGTATTGTGACATGTCTACCAATAAATGGATTAACTTAAAAAAGTTATTTATATATTAGGAGCTGATGGTACTGAGACAATAGTAATGCAAAAAGTGGGGCCAAATACTCCTTCAAGAAGTTCATGCACTGGGGCTACAGCAGAACCATCCGACAGTGTGGCTCTACTATAAATCTTCCTATAATTCATTCTGTGAGTATAATATTAATTAATTAACTGATTATAAATGCATGTATTCCAGGATTTTAGTGATCATCTCTTTAGAATTGCTCCTATGATTTCGTGCTACTATCTATGTGTTATATGGTCATAAAAATATGCAAAATGATCCAATGTTATAGCTTATTATTCGGAATTACTCAATGTATAGAATTTAGCTTGGTATATGTATATTTTTATTTAAAACGCATACAAATTATTCGTGTAGATAAAACTATATAATCGTCTTCCAGCTGTTTCAATTTAGAGAAATTTTAGTATAATGTTTGATCATTTTGAATTACTATAAATTTAATTCACTTTATCGACTGACTTTTAGGTATTAAATAATTGTGATATTATTTCAATGACATTTTACTAAGTTACTCTATAAATAAAACTTTTATTTAATATTTTAATATAGGATAGGTAAATGTAACTCATTGTATGTAATATCTATCTACAAACTTCAATATATACTACATATCTATGATATGGTCATTCCTTATATAGAATAAGGCATCTAAGGTATAAAAACTATTTTTAAACTTAAATTGTTTCCCTTTATTGGTATATTGATTGATTTAAATTATTATGTGTTCGATACCAAAGGCTTCTTAATTTATTTGTAAAACTGTGATACATTAATTTAATAAATTAGACATATCATTTGTTTAAGTTTAAAAAGTTTGTAGGTTGATTTTTAAATTATATAAGAAATACATATCAATTCCGTATTAATTGTTAATAATTTTGTAATTTATTGTAAATATTATAGAACATATTTGTTGATATCTGCTATGTTTAATGAATGTTTCAAATGTACCTGCTACATAAAAATATTAGCTAAAGGTCGAAAAATTATTCATTAAAATATATTTTTCATGAATAATTTAACACCTTAAATTTTAGATATGTAAACATTATTTTCAACACACTAACCAAAAATTTGCACTTTAAAGCGTCAACCAATTTTTGCAGAGAATACTCAAACTCAAACGGTTTAAAATTTATTTTTATAGCTTTATAGGTAATCAAACATTAGATATTTATGATGTATTTATTTACAATCCATGTTGTGTTTAACCTGCGTTAATTTTACTCATGCATACAAATGTTATATTGATGTAAGCATTCTATTTAAATAAAAAATAAACGTTTACCTTGTATTTTATTTTTAAACCCCGGACAAAGATTAAATATACATTAATCTTTGCTACGGATTCAAATTGTAATAAATAGAGCTAGCAATCTATTCTTAGACTAAGAAATAATAGGTCCATGTATCTATTCGCGTTTAGATGGCGCAGTTTACGAAACCATTCATGTTTATGCAACAAACATTACAAATGCCGTAGTTTTCCAACGTGGTTGCATATATTACATCTTTAGAAAATCATAGAATTTAAGTATAAAATAAAGTTTTCTAATCTAATACTAGGATTAAACAGTAGTCCAGTCCCTTTCGGAGGATGAAATTAGGGGACGCGGAAAGAAATTTTTGGGGAATATTCTTAATTCATTATCAGCACCCCTGACTATACATAAAAAAAACCCGACTACCATCGAGTTTTCCTTCTACAATCTTTGTTTCCTGGACTATAGTATGGATATGGAATTAAAAAAACACAAGTATATTATTTTTATTTGTTTATTATGCAATGTTAAATGGCACTTGTAAATATAGTAGAGTATTGCAGTATACTTCTTTTTCTGATAAAAAATAAACTTCAGGCACAGTGTAAATCTTTTGTACAAATATTATCACAGTATACTGAGCTTCATTTATATATTTTTTCTAAAATAGTTGGCGTAGATAAAATCACAAAAATTATTGAACAAATTGGTGATACCACGCTTTTTATTAAAAAAATAAATTGCAAACATAACATATGATAAAAATATATTAATTTAATTGGAAATCATTCCTGACCATAAATAAAAACTGATACAATTAACGAAACCATCTAAAAGGTTCTTCTGATATGCTAAACACAATTCTGCGTCTTCTTGCTTATGAGGCTCCCTGTATACAGCATATAACTCCTATAAAAACAATCGTAATAAAAAATATAACCAAACTACCTAAAACTTACTCCTCTGAAGGTGTGAAGATCGATGGATAGGAGCATGAAAGCCCCAAAGTAATTCGGATGTAGTATTACATAATGCTGTATGTTCCCATCAGCGGAAATAAACGTTCTGTGTTGCTCATTGTATTTAACCAACAGTAGCTTAGCTAACCCTTGATACCAGACCAAAGGCTGATTAAGTAGCGGTCCTAAATTCGGGTGTAAATCACATAGGTGATCCAACTTGGCCAAGTTCTTTAGTTCGATAAACTCCTCGTAGTTTAATGAATGGGTATCATGAGGAGATATCAGTCGGTTCCACAGGAGAAATGTTCTGCAATGCACCATGCCTTTGGCCACCATATCCTTAACGTGTTTTTGGGTTGTGTTGGCTTTATCAAGGATCAATTGGTGCATGAGTTGTTCGTGGGATGAATAGTATCCCAGATAGTTGACCGATTCCTGGGATATTTCAACGTAGGGTACCATGGATTGTTGGCTTATGGAAGACTCAATTCGGTTGTTACTGTCATTTTCAGATGTTAACATTTTGTCTTCATCCGAACTGTCGCAATCAATTTCAGAACTTTCTATAGTTTTTGTTGTACTTTCCTCCAAATCATTTCTTTCCAAAGCAGATAAACTTCTAGCTGTTGATGAGACTGTCCTAAATTTACCCAACTTATGCTCCACTTCAGATTTCGGGTATATTTCACGTTTGGAAGTCAGTATTAAGTAATATTTAAGATGTAAAACATTGTCTTTCGGTGAATAGGGCGTGCAAAGATTATAAATAACAAGGGTTATATCGAAATCGTCTGTATGGTGCCTATCTTGCGAGTCCTTATATGATACCTGTGGTGTGCTAGTAACTTGCACCAAAATACACTCCATATCTTCGTTGGCCTCCATCTCAAACACTTTGAAATTGTATTGGGCTATATTTGATAATAAATAATCATACAATTGCTTCCCCTCTGTCACCAAATTTTTTATGGTTAAAGTATCCGCGTATACCAAATTTCTGGCAAAATTCGGCGTTTTATTGTAGTATTTCATGAAGTCATCCAAAAATTGATGAACGTTGTATAAATTCGATAGACGATTTGGAGCGGAGGCAGCCGATATATAATTATATATGCAACGTAAGTGATAGTCGTAGGCAAAGGAATGTAAGTGCATCAATATTTTAACTCTATCGCATTCATCAAGAAAACTTAGCGTAAACTAAAACGTAAAAAACGTAAGTAACAATCGTTGTTTTTCAAAATATTATAATTACCCTATTAATGGAGGCTCTAGAGCTAATATTCTGCAACCTATTACACTCAATTACATGTAGTTTAGTGATAAAAAACGGCTCACTAATTTCCACAGTAAAAAGTAATATCCCACCGAGTATAGTTTTTTGTATAAAGAAAACCGAGTTATAGGAAGACTTATCCTTGATCCACAATCTAAAAATCCTAAATAAAAACTGCCTACAGTAAAATAAAAAGACTTACCCTGTGTTTTTATGAGGACTGTCGATTTGCAAAGGCATAAAACCAAGGGTCTGCAGATATTGCCGGTAATCAGTAAAAAAAGCATAGCAAAGTTCCGTGTGCCAAGATTCCTTATCCTCATCGGACAATTTATCCGCTATTTGAATGGCTTGTGAAGGGTAGAGCGAGTGATCCCTAGTCGCCGCCGATTTGAGGCGCCATCTAGGCAAAAATAGCAAAGGCGTGTGGCAGTAGTGAATAATCCGGGAATTTTGCATCAGCAAAAATATCTGCGACACCGTCGTCGTGCTGGTTCTCGACTGGTACATGTTGTGTAATTTCTTCATTTCTTCTCTTTGACGCTTTTCGATCGCCTTCATTTCGCACATCTCGGATGTCAGCATGACCACGGGATCGTTTGAAGCGAATTTCGATATCCTAAAGGAATCGCGGAAAGCCTCCACAATAATGTGAAGGTTGTATGTGGAGGGTATGCGTTTTTTCTTGTGGTCCCTTGGGTACTTACTCATATAGTCCATGTCGCTTATATAGGCCGCGTACGGATTCCCAACCATCATCTAAACTTTGTTTTTTAGAACGATAAATAATAATAAACATGGTAAAACTTACAAAGCATTTCCTCGTTAATGGTTGATTGTGGAATAACCCCAACTTCTGCGATGTTATAGAATTCAGAAAACACGATCTTACGCTTAACCATAAAGTTAAATTGTTGCAGTTACTATTTAGTTTCTCGACGTTATCTCTGGCCCAATTATACGTAAAAATTACGATCTAAAAAATAAAATATAAAATACAATACGTACACAATTTTTCTCAGTTTGTGAGCTCATGCCGTGACAAATAAATCATTGCGTGAGTTAATTCGAAATTAAGTGGAGCGAGCATGCGCACAGAGCATGCGCATGCGCAATTAAGCTTTTGAGCACTTAAATGCGGTTAGAGCTCAGAACGTGCGGTAAAATTTATAAAAAATAACTCTCATATGCGGGTATACAAAATATAAAAAACGTACACTATCACTCTCAACGAGCAGCCACAAAATCTTCTGTCTAGGTATTAAAATGTTGTTTATAACATCAGGTACAAATTTCTGGGTATGCTTTAAGGACTGCGGCCTCAAAACCTCCGGAAAGTCGCCGATTTTCTCGGTATTCAACGATGCGGTCCACTGATTAAAATTCCTGGATACAATCACGTACTTTTGCACGTAATTGTTAAAAAGCACAGGCGCGTATATTTCTTCTTTGCCATTTAAATTATTTCTTGGTGTTGCGCAAAACGCTTTTGGCGAGTCTTGTAGCATGTTGATAATTTCTTTTATTGTTACGTTGGGAAGATGGCGGCTGCTTAGGTTGAATTGTAGCCGCTTTACAGATGGCACGTTAAGAGAGAACCCGAATTCAAGCCACGATGGTAAAAAGCTAGAGTATATATTGCTTAATACACCTTTATCGCCTGTTTCCAAAAAGGACATTTCTATTTCATTAACCAACTTTTCGTTGTTATTTTCCTTTTCATGACTCATTTTTTTGCTACGTTTTCTAGGAAGATACGGTTTATCAATCTTGCGTTTTTCGCTTTTGCTATTCTCCAACTTATTATTACTATGATATGCATCCATGTTTGAGTCGAGAACACATACAAATTCGATTTCTTTGGTTAAGTCAAAACCGGCAGTGTCAATGTCTATAGGTTGATTTTTTACTATTATATGTTCATTGGGCATCTCACATAGTGGGTTTTTTAATAAATAGTATTCAGTCACAATGTCCCATGTAGCCTGGGATACAGCTTCATTAAGTTTTAGGGATAGATTATCTATGTTCACTCTGCCTTGCTTCCATAGACGGAACTCTATATAGGAGTTTGGTACTTTATCTGAAACAAGATATTTTAGCGATATTCTACAGATATATATATAAATATTTTAGACTAACCATTAACATTAAGCCTTGATGTGGTGACAAGAGGCTCGTATATTTTCTTCGAAAAATTATCTTTAAATTTATCTTCAATATCAATATTTTTACTGACTGTTATATTTGATATCACTGCTAGTGCTATACATGCTATACCCCGGTTACCAGAGGAAGGATTTTGACTTTGATTGTATATAAAGATGCTATCATCCCTATTTTTATTTGAATCATGTTCAGAATAATCTTTAAAATGCGATCTATTGTCCGTATATTTTGGGTTATTCAAAAATTGCAGCAAATTTTGTTTTAAGTAATAAACGAAGGGGTCCAAGTACTGATTGGAAATATATTCTTGAATTGTAAACTAAAAAATTCAACATTACAAAAATATATCTGTCACAACTAAATAAATCTTACTCTGATGATTTCTTCCGGTGGCCTGAAGGGTTTCTGTATAAACTGAACATCTTCGGGCGTTAAGGGGCACATGGCGTTTCTGGCCAACATAATAGACAAAAATTCTAGCACAGCATTGTCAAGTTTGTTTTGCAAAACCTGTACTAGTTCAAATTGCACATCATCACCGGCTTCCGTTATTCCATGCACTTTAAGTATTAGCGTGTCCTCATTTGGTCCATCTTTGCTTTCTTTTTCGCCGAAGGACCTCACTCTAGGCCTTATCTCCATTGATATTATGGAGTTAATGCTCTGTTCTGATTGGGTAAGATTGCTTTTATTTTGCGCCAATGGTAAAGATGCCATTGAAGGGCTTCTCGATACAGGCCCATTGTCGTATTCGTTACTTCTACTAGTGTTTTTATTTGGATATTGGACGTTCTCATGGAGCCTAGCAAAACAATTAACTAAAAAATATATCTCATCATGATGAGAAACCCTTACCGTAAATAAAAAACGTTGTTTTTGTTGTCCCGATACACAAACATGTTGTTTCTGTTGGAAACCGAGAACTTTTCAAGTATGTGCCGCAAAGCTAATATCCCTCGGGATATCCCGGATTTTCCAGGTCCGGTTTTTAATCTGGGGTGGAGCACAAATCGCGTTTCCCATACCACTGGGCAGCTGAAGTAACCCGGTTTAAAGTTGAGCGAGGCTTCGGATAGTGAAGCTGAACACGCCATTATTTCCAAGTCGTCTACAGATTCTAAAAATAAATATGTCTCTAGTATATAAGACGAAACGCTAATATATATAACTAAATAAAAAACAAACACTGTTTTTGAGTTTCACGAATTTATTTTAATTTAATTTTGACAATTGTTTCGCTAACATAGTAGCTTCTTCAGAAATGAAGAAGCTACTTTGTTAGCGAAACAATTGTCAAAATTAAATTAAAATAAATTCGTGAAACTTGACGAGGTAAGACATAGTAACCGAGACCTCGCTTGAAACCAAAATTGTACGTCCCACAATAAAATAAACTATAATGCATTTTATCTACAGTGAATTAAAGGCTACCTTACTTTCACGGAAGTAATAGAGTGTGAAGTGATAAGTGACAGCATACCTGGCGGGCGAACCACCTGCCAATATGAAGCATTTTATTTGAAGAACTAACGAGGCTAACCAAGCGTGAAAAGGGCCATCATCTGCAAACATAGTACTCTTATAACTGAATGCATGACCTAATACGTAAATTTGCAACATCAATAATAATAATAAATCTTTATTTCCCAACAAATTTTCAATCCAAAAATATACAACAAATAGTCATAAAATTTCATTCAATAAAACAAAAAATAAACAAATAATTAATTCAAGTAGCAATAAAATAAAATAAAATCAATAAAAAAAACGAAAAAAAATAGATATTAACCAAATCAATTAAATTGCACTTTCTTTGGCACATTTTACAATACGTTCAGATACACAAGCCTAAGAGCGGTTCTTTCCGCTTAAACACAACCCTAGTAAAAAAAAGAATTTAAAACAAAGAGCAACCGTCACATTGATAATAAGACAATACAAAAAAACAATAAAACCAAGCCGTCCCAAATCTTATCGCTGGCATTTACGGGAATACAGCTAAGCAAGACAACTAAATCAATCACCAAGTAAGTCACAAAATCCATAAATTTAAAAGACCTCTTCCAATAAACAAAAGTGTCTAAACTAACCGAGACATAAATAAACATAGAAACCTAGAAACCTATAAAACCTATGTCGAAATGCAATAATCGAACTCAGCAGTCATTATGAAAACTTAAAAGACAAAGACGGACAAACCAATGCTTACTTAAATCACAGTATAAAGAACTGTATACTATGCTCAAACGACTAGGTCAAAAATGGCTATTGGGTAGGAGTGAAAACACTAGCCGCCTTGGTGACGGTCAAGCTGTAACCTACAACAAGGAAGACAATTCCATACAGCTAACTAACAACTCCACAACTTAAAATAGTAATTTTAAATGTTTGGAGTAATACTAATTTCCTGGTCTAGGGGGATTCCGCGGCGTACACAGATTCGGGTCGGCGTAATTGTCCCCTTAAAACCAAAATGTCTGTTCCCCCATCCCCACCTCCTGTTGTTTCTAATGGGCGTATAGCAACGGCCCGGCGAATTCGGGAAAGGATATTCAAACTATTCGCATGTCGCTCTCGAGCCTCAAATATGGTACAGTACCGGACGCGGTGGACATTCGCAATGGGGCTGGTTATACGACTCTTATACTCATACTCAAAGTCAAAAAACAGTGTTTGTTGTTTATTTAGTTATACATTAGTGACATTGAGTTTCATCCAAACAATAAAATATGTATATAAGCATTTCAAACGTTGGTTGTAAACAGTGCTTACCTTCCATACTTTTGAGTCTAACATATGAAGGATTTCTCGATATAGGGGAATTACACGTTTCGCTGCAACTATCGTCCGGCTCTAGTAGAGGATCGCACGTCTTGGATTCGTATAAATTTTGCAACAACACAAGCTGGTTGACTTTTTTGCATAGCGCTTTAATAGCATCACTGATAGCGCGTTGTTTATCCAAATACTCGCCTACGTGTAAAGTCTGCATTTCCAAAAATCTGCAATGGAAGTAAATCGTGACCAGCTCTTGCTCGATCTTCATAATCAGCCAAAAGTTGTGCAAGTGTTTTCTCTTTTTGTTCAGTCTTTGCAGCAAGTCGGATATATCGTAATCCTCGCTGTCGTCCTCGTCATATCCACCTTCGGTTCCAAGCATACTGCCGTTAATGCTGGTGGAGATATCGCTGATTTGCGAGGCGTTCTCCTCCACCGATTTATTATCGGCATCTTCCTTGCTAGTGTTAAACATATCAGGTAAGTGGAATGAATCGTTAAGCGAGCTACACTCAAAATCGTTTTGCACGAAACAACCACTTTCACGTCTTTCCCTTGCGCCATTATTATCTTTGGCCAAGTAGTAAAAATCCTCGATTTTACAGAGCTTACAATCGGGAAGTTTAATTTTCGAAAACTCCTCCACGAATTTCTCCGAACTCTGTCGGCAAGCATACACAAAATTCAATTTAATTATATCCATTACGCAGGATGCTCTCATTTGGCTTCCAGTTGTTACATGCGAGGTGACAAAGTTTAACGTGTCGGGTTTTACAGGCTCAATATCCAAGAGGGCCGTAGCGATTTCGTCCTTCAACAACCACTTTATTTCCTCCTTCAACGATATCACGGTGTTTTTTTGCGCTTCTGAAAGATTAACAACGGGTATATCAGAAGAATCGCTTGCTTCAGATATTGAACTATCTACGCTTGGTTGGAAAACATCGCTGCAAAATGAGGTTGTTCTTAGACCGGATGTGGAATAATTTTCGATAATATTCTGTACTTCGCTGGGTAAAGTCAAGCATAAAATATCCAAAGTAACTCTTATTTTACTTCTATCCAGACATTCCACCCCATCATCTAGATGTTGTATAAGCTCCCCCAAACAAGTAGGTATAACTCTAACAGACGTATTAGATACTCCGCCGTTATTATATTTTAATGTGCAAATTAGATGTAGGAATAAAGGGCTGACTGCTTCCTCTGTATTTTCATCCCCTACGTCCATTGAGGGTTGATCTTCGGAGTAAAAGCTACTGTAATCTTTCTCTGACTTGAACTCCACTAATTCTGATAAATTAGTGGATATCTCATCATCGCTGTCTACATTATTATCTTCAACCTTATTGCTGACCAGGTTTTGATAATAATAAAATTCCTCATTTGTCGGTATGGGATTAAAAGCAACCCCGACTATTTTCAAAAATTTCTCTTTTATTAACGAATGAAGCGATGAAAGATCGTTGCAAGGCATTGGCTGATGCAAGGGTTTTATTGGTATTGTCTCGTCTTTCTGGTGTTTGACGTGCCCACAAATCGTCAAAATATAGTCGGTTATGTCAATTTCACGTATGAATTCCTCGCATTGGTCCATCGCTGATTGCACGTCGGTGCTGTGCACATAAACACCACCGTGCAAGGCGACGAAGAGAGAGATTGTGAAACACTTTGAGTGAGCTAAGACAAGAGCTTTGCAATGCGATCTGACGTTACGACTTTCGATGTCGTATTCGTCCGCCTTGTCGCCATCCGTGGAATCATCACTTTTCAGCCTGAAATGGAAAACAATTAAAACAAATTGATATTAAGAGTGATAACATACTTGACGTATTCCTCCTGTATAAACCCGGAAGTCTTAAAGCGGTGATCCTCGTATATATCCTCATTCGTAGGTGTTTTATCATCCGCGTTGTTCATGTAAGCTTTAACAAGCATAGCTAACGGACAGTCAAACACATATATCGGCAAGCATAGTGAACTTTGCACGTTTATTGGTACATCGCTAAAATTACTGGTTCTGGATGAGGCCCTTTCCGACTCAACTTCAACGTTCAAATTAGGAATGTTTCTCGTTTCATGGCAAACCAAACTCTTTAAATCGTCCAATGTTGAAGGAATGAACGTTAGAATGACATGCGTGACAGATATGCCTTTGAGAAAGCATCTCCACTGCGACTCAACTGGCACGTCGAAGTTGCTACGAGAGTGGAACTCCGATATCGGACAGTTGTTCGGGTGTTGATTTTGATGCCTCAGCAATATTTGTTGCGTGAACCGATCGGACTCGGCTTTGGAAAGATCCAGCTCTTGATCGTGGAGTATATTTAAATGATCTAAAATGTTGTTCAGTAGCAAAACGTTGGCTTTGTTTGCTGAAGACCCCAGAGAGGATTCTTTGCCTTCAATAAACATTGAAAATAGGAGTTCGGTTTGCTGGCAATGCGGCAAAATATTGATCGGATCAAATTTAAATGGAATGTGTTCAATTCTTTGAGATACTATTGGATAGCACTGAGATCTGCAATATTTTTTTTTGATTTATTACGTTTTTATTGGTAGTTTTAAAACTTACCCATTATCAGGTACAATTGGTGGTTCTAAATAACTATTTCTACTGCTTTTTCTACTCTTACGACTAGTACTTGACACCATTCGGTTAAACGTTAGCATTGGGTAACCCTTATCTTGGCACATCAAACTTAAATGCTCCATAGTTAATAAAGAATTTATACATTGCAAATCTATTCTACATATCTAAAAGAACCCGCGTTAAAACAAAAAACAAACCATAAAATCTCAAATTCTACTTACCACATCAGCAATTTCATAATAGTGCTTATTATCCATGTAACTAATTCTAGGATCGCTTGGCAAGACTTTTCCGTATTGAGGCTCAATCCAAACTTCAGTGACTAGTTGCATTTCGCTATCCAACTCGGATGACATATCGTTCTCTTCATCGGAACCACTGTAAAAATCGTCACCTCCACACCATGCGCAATGCGGTGGAAAAAGAACGTACTGCACCACGCAGCTGGAAGTTTGGTCCATCCACAATTCCAGAACCATAGTGATGATCCCGGAGGAAGAGTGTGCAAAACTGAATCCTTCTTTTATCCGCATGCTAAAATTATGGCACAGGATGATCAGTAATCACTTTTTTTTTCATCACGTCATCCAAGTAACTATCCAAGTGAAGTTTACCTTTCCTGGCGCAATCATCAGAAAAACTGGAGATTGAGGAGCAGCTTCAAGACCAGAAATAGAGATTGCATCAGGAAAGATGTACATTATTTGAATAACCTTTGATGAAAAAATTAGGTCCGATTACTTCAAAAACTTACCCTGTGAGAGTGGATAAAATTCTGGATATAGCCGTATCGGGTAGCTTGGGGTTGGCCGGGTGGTAAGCTCCCCATATCCACCGTTTGTGGTACAAATACCTGGACAAAGTGGTGAATAGTGAACCACTTACCGGTGCTGGGGGTACCACTGTGGAGTTTGGAGGTTGGGTACCATCAGGGAAAATAACAGTTGTAAAAGAGGAAGGAATGCGTTCATATCTGATAAGGATTTTTTCGATTGGTTTTTGCAGTAGAACGCAGCAAATGTTTTCCTTTAGTTTAACGGTTGTAAGGTAGGATAGACCGGATAGTTCTGATTTTAGCTCATCGCAAACCCTTTGCCTGGCTTCGCCATTCGTGCCGGTTATGAAGCCTATATTGAGCACAGCACATGGGAATTTGGACGTAATTCTGATCAAACAAAATCCACAGGCTGGTTTATCATTGTCTGCGTGCAAAAATTTCACGTAGGTATGGTTATCGATTAAAATAAATGAGCTCCAATCTGCTAGCATTTTATATAGAGCCGCCGTTGCTTGTCGGCACTGTATAACCTGATACCTTTGAGAAGAGTTAGGCAAGTGCAAATGTTTTGGTAGCGGATTATCATGCTTTAAAATCAGCGATATTTTGTGTATGTGCAACCATTTTCTCCAAACGTTGGTTTCCATTGAAGCCAACGTTTGCCAGACGTGCACGAATTTAGCACTCGAGACGTCTCTTAGATGCAGGCTTAATTTTGTAGCCTCTGCCGAACACGCTGTGCCGTTTGCTGTGAAAACCGGTATTCCACTGCGCACACTCTCAGGCAGGACAAACCAATCCTTATTGCAACTTTGGAAGGAACTTAAGTTTTGGGCCATGTTCACGTCCTCAGTGGATAGTTGTGATAACCGCAGCCAAAATCGTTTTATGATCGCGAGTCTGTTCACTGATTTCGACTCTTTTTTAATCATACAGGTTATGTCGTGAAGGAACTCATAGGGGGCTAGAATGTTGATCTCGAACTTTACGTTGTGTTTTGTTATTGGCCAGTCAGAGGTGATTTTGTAGTTCATGTAAATGAAGGATTTCCATTGAAGACTCAGTCTCACTTCTAAATCTCCGTTTGCCAAGTAAATTTTCTAAAAATTATATTGTTATTCTTTTATGTAAAGCCTGATTTATAGATTGCCTTCCTTCCTTTACATACGGGAATCTATAAATGGCACTAGAATTTTCGTATTGTTCATCTTTTACGTGAGGAAGGGAGGAAGGAAGGCAATCTATAAATCAGGCTTAAGTATAAACAATGAAAGTTACATCAACAGTGAATCCTTCCCTTAGTCTTCTAGCTAACATGAGTAATATAGAGGTATTCATTTTTTCTTCAGTCTGTTTTTTGAATAGTAAACTAGGGGGTTTATGGCTATAGAAAGACTCATTTCTACAAAAAAAAAATTACATTTTTTTTTTAAATTATTTTATAACATACGTTGAAGTCCATTTGTGTCCACCAGATATTTTCGGGTATATATTTTTGGTTTTGCTATGAAACGACCAGAGCAAAAACAACTCCTGATAGACGTTTAAGGACATAGACGGCTCGTGTATAACGTCGGGAAAAGTTTCGAAACAATTCCCTAAAGTTGAGTGCGATAAAAAATACAGTAAATCCACATACGGTACGTAACCAGCGCTTGAATGCGGATGAAAACTGGAACCAACTTTAAGAAATGAAACTGCTATACTGTCGTAATGCAGCTGATATAGTAGCGACTCCATTATGTTAAAATCTGGCATTGCTACAATGCCATCAGTAATGACTAGAATATCTAAAAAAATAATGCGTTAAAAATTGTTTTTTTCTGTAAATTCTCAAACATACGACTTATGCTTATATCAGGTAATAAGGTTATAGCCAACATGGAGTATCGTAACATATTAACAAAATTTGCATCAGCTGTTACCATAGGTATTTTCAAAACAAATTTTTCGGAATCGGGCAGATCGAATAGTTGCCCCACCATACCCTCATTTTGCGTCTAAAACATATGTTAGAAGCAAAAAATAGCAATGTTTGTAATATTTACCCTCTGTATATCCAATTGCTCATGCGCAACCACGGAAACATCTGCAATTTTGCCTTCCAACAAGTGAAATTGTTTTTCAATATAACTGATAATGTAGTTAAGATTGCTGCTGGAAATCTGTACACCCTTAACTAAGACTTGTTGAGCGGGACTCATGAAAAACGGCGTGTTAACCATGACGGTTAAATGTATGGCGGGCTGGAAGACCAGGGAGTTCCCCGGTATGGTGAATTGTCTGGTAAGGGCCTCCAGGCTTGATTTGAAGCAAACTAGGATTTCGTCGAAAAGCACTTCGCCCCTCTGGATGTCGACGTTCGATTGAGAGGGACTCATGTCCAGACAATAAACGAATCTGTAGGAGTGAGCTACGAATTTCAACTCCGTATCTGTGGTTATTAAAAACCGGTTGCATTTTACTAGAGTTTGTTCCCTGGGTACAGCCGATATTACTTCAAGTTCTATTGTTTCAGTCTAAAAATATCGATTTTTTTTTTGGTTTTCAACAAAAAATGCAAAATTTATTTACCACTTTTTGAAGACTAGGTATGCTTATAACAATGTTAAGGTGGTCCAGTAACCACTGAAGTCTTTTAGCTCTCGAAATGGACACATTTTTTGGCAACAAAATATAAACAGTTTTGGCTTCCAGAAACGGAGGTTCATTCTCCTCCTTATAAGGATAATCTCCTGGATAAAGCGCCCCATGTTCTAAAAAGATTAAAACACAATCCAATTGAAATTTTTATAAAACAAAATATAAAATTATTATTAAACTAGATGTTTTGCTATTTGTTTAAATCAATTCTCAGGCATGTGAATACTCCAGAGTATATACAGCTGTATATGCCGCCGATAAAATTCATCCCGGCGCATCCGCCATTTTGGTAAAAATTGTGCCAGGCTTTAGCAGCAGGAAATTTTAATGCCTACAAAATTGCTCTGTTATATATTTTTTTAAAAAGCGCCGTGAAGGGAGAAAAAAAGAAAATATTTTTCCACCCCTATTTTCGGGGGTTCCCGGCTCGATCAATACCATGCTCAAATTACCACTCTAATAGTACTAATAGTATAGTATGTTTTATTATACAGTAGTTAAATAGATATAACCTTGACATTGCTAAAAAAAGTACAATTTATCCAATATTATAATGCATTAGCCTTGAAGCGTTTATAAATAAAATTTTCAAGTGTATATGTTGTAAGGCACGCCTTTACAAACAAAAATTCAATTTATTTAATCCAATGTGCAAAATTAAAAACTTAAAGGTTTATGTCAAGGAGATCTATAACATTAATTAGGAGTTAAAATTAATTACGTTTTGGAGAATACCTAAACCTTGAAATTTTAACCTTTTTGTAAAAATTTACTTGTTTTGTGTTTAACAAGTTTTAAATAGTCGTGTTATAAACGGATATTCAAAAAACTTGATAAGATTGCCTAAATTTTATCAGTAATATTAGAAATCAAAACTATTTCCCCGGCTTAAGCTAATTAGCAATAAAAACTTGACAATAGTGAGATTATTAAAACAAAATCACTGGACTTTTAATTACTTGATAAGAATAATTAAATTCAAAGAGGCAATAATATTTAATGGTTGTTTTAAACAACTTGTTTTTAATCCAAGTAGATAAATAATGGAATTATGTTTTCGAATTTTGAATAATTATTATAATAATATTTACCTAAATTCGAAAGGTCTGACCTGCATAACTATAATATCATTAATTTTAAATTAAATATTCTATTTTCATATATGTGAAAAATGGGTTATCAAAATATATCACAGGTCTAGACATTATTTACATACCTAACTACTTGTATTAATTTTGGAATTCAATATTTAAGTACCTACTGAAAGATAAACGAATTTTATGATAATATGATAAGGAATTTCAAACTGGTTTTATATGTTAAAACAGATCAAATAATTTATATTTTTTATTATATTCACACACTCAAGGCAATCAGGGTCAAACCTTTTTCTAATTAATTTAATATAGGTACCTTGCAATAATTATATGCAAGCTTGTGCAATTGCGCGTTTTTAAATGCAAGCATATTTTTCAATAAAATAAAAAGACCAACAGGTCAAAACTTTTATTAACTTTTAACGGGTCATTGATAAGTTTAACGGCACATTTTTCTTCAATATGAAAAGGGAAAGTTACTTGAAACGATAACAATTAAGATAAAGATAAATTTCTCTGGCAGATAAATAAATTTGTAATTAATTGAATAAAAAACTCACCTGAAATTGTTAATTCAACACCTTCATCTGAACATACGCTTAGGGAATCAAATTCCATAATTCGTGAAACTTAACATTACCCGAAAATTAACTAAATAACTAAAACACAAATGTTGACATCCACAAACACACTAATCACTAAAGTTTCAAACTAAACGATTTTTTTAATCTGCACTTAAGACATTTTACAGCTGCATTATACACAATGTCAATTACAGAAGCTCGAGAAGATAGGTTTCAATTTTATTATTATAATGGATTTTTTACGAGGGGTTTATGTAAATATCATATACTAATATTTACGTTGTATTGCTTTTATAAAGATATTACATCACGAGATTCAAAACATAACCTATCTTGTCTGTTGTTGTTGATTTATTATTCTTAACGAAGTTAGCCGCAAACTCGATTAAGGTCCATTCACAAGCAAAATTATCTAATTTGCATTTTATGTTTGAATAATAAAATTAAAAGGGGATGGCGAATACAAAGAACAAATGATACGCACCCTTACCTATGAAAAAAATATTTACAAAATAAATGTAATTAATCTTTTTTTGTTTATAATTTTAATTTGATTTTGATCTATTTTTTTTTTAATTTTATATATATTTTTTATCTTGATTTGTTTTGTGGTAATATTAGCCTTGTTCCTACCGAGCATTTGGACTGTCGAGTGGGCGTCAGGGACATGCGCAATACGAAAAAAATTTCGGATGTGAAAAAGTGTGCAGTTGCGAAAGCAGAAGTATGTATGTATATACCGTATTTTCATTTTTGCTGTACACTGATACATTAAAGCAGATGAAAAAAAATAAAAAACTCAGATTAGTTAACATAAATTAGTTTTTTATTTAAAGCATTTTTAAATTATGTATTTTTATTTTTTTCTACGTTTTTAATGGATTATTTAACTCAAAATTCGTAAAATAATCGTATTCGATAATCGGCAAAACCATAATAATCGCAGGTGAATCTTAATCGCAATTGTAATTGCTACACCACTAAAATAAAAGTTATGATTATTATGTATTAATTTTTTTTTTACACGAACTTATTTATTTGTTTCCATATAGTTTAGCTTACAGTGTAAGTAAGCCTTAATGTAATTTTCGCAATGTTTGCAGTAAAGTTAGGCAAAAGCAGGTTAACCAACGTTAAAGATAATGAAGTTGGCAACAAAATGTCAAAAATTCCTTGACTTTTAATCTCGTGTAGTTTTAAATGTTTTGATTATGGTTCACTTTTGCCCGTTTTGTTCAAATTTACTTTTCGTCGAGGAATGCAGTGGTAAATTACAATTAACGTGTAACATATGCCCGTTGTTTTTTCCAATAAAACAGAACGTTATCTACAGGAACTACTACAAATTAAAGGTTAGGTTCGTGAATCATGATGGTACTTTTTTGCTGATTAGGTGGTTTTAGGAAATTGACGACGTGCTGGGTGGAGCTGAGGCGTGGAAGAACGTGGACTCGACTGAGGAACGTTGCCCCAAGTGCAGCCACCCCAGGGCGTACTTTATGCAGCTGCAAACAAGATCGGCTGATGAACCGATGACTACATTCTATCGCTGCTGCAACCTGGATTGTTGTCACAACTGGCGCGACTAAATGTTGATTAAACGAACTATTTTTCAAAGCATTAAACTACGTTTAAGCTCAATGTCTTTAAACATTCCTATAGAAGATATTAATGCTGGAAATTTGGCTGTTGACTATTTGAAATCGGGTCGTGTGATTGCTGTGCCAACTGATACGGTTTACGGTTTGGCGTGCAACGCCTACGACGTCTCTGCTATCAATAAATTGTATTCAATCAAGAAGAGAAATGAAAACAAACCTGTTGCTCTTTGTGTAGGCAAAGTAAGTGATGTTAAGCATTGGGCAGTTGTTGAACATCTTCCCAAAGGGTTGCTGGGCGCCCTTCTTCCAGGACCTGTGACATTGGTTTTAACTTGTGCTAACAAACTAGACAAATCCGTTGTTTTTCAAGGGAAAGTAGGTATTAGGATACCTAATTACCCATTTATAAGAGACTTAGCCAATGGTTTGGGGAAACCATTGGCTTTAACTAGTGCCAATTTAAGTAGTGAACCCAGCGCAGTAACAGTAGACGAATTTAAAGTTTTGTGGGATAAGGTAGCCCAGGTTTTTGACGGCGGGGTGTTGGGTTTGGATAGAAGCGCGTCCACAGTAGTTGATTTATCGAAATCAGGTGCATATCACATCATAAGAAAAGGCTCAGCCCTTCAAGAAACCACGGCTATTTTAGCAAAATTCGGTTTAAGAAATACTTACAATGAATAAATTTCTGAAAAGCGTTAAAAACTCGGTGGTCAGTAACAAAGATGAATTGATCAAAAAATCTATCACCACTCAGTTATCTAATTTTGTTAAGGAGATTCAATATTTTGGAGTAGAGAGCAAAAGTGCGCAAAATGTTGATATTAGTGAGGCTTCCAATGCCTTATGCACAACATTGGAAGCCATGTTTTTACATGGTCTCAAAGATTCTCTAGCCTATAGGTTTACAAGGGCTATAGCTGATGTCGATGAAAGACCTGAACCCAGCTTTTGGGGGCCTCTATTAGTTATATCTCACAGACAAATTATTGATCAGGTAATATGTAAAGGTGGATTTAGCCAGCATTTAATGTAATGTAATTAAATTTAAAAGTTAAAACTGTAGAACCCTATGGACGCGTTAAGCCAGCATATAATGTAACTAAATGTAAGGTTAGTTATATTGTTTTGTGCTTAAAATCTTTGTATTATGGTTAAAAGTAACGATAATTATCTTCTTCTTCTTTAGATTTATTGGACTTTAGCGTAATTAAACGCTATTTGGTCAGCACAATTTTTAAAATTTTCTTTACTGTTCAAGGGTCTAATTTAAGAGAATCTGAGATTAACTCATCCCTGTAAATTATTTATATATTCATTAATTAAATTTTTATAGAACCATGTCATCTTTTCACTTAATGGCCTAATGCACAGAATCTTCTAAGTATATTCAATCCTCAATCATCCAATCTATCTCTTGATTATTTCCATATAAATTTATAAATTCTTCATCCATACCAGTGTGTTTCCACCCTGGGAATCCAATTTTGCCTCTCCTGGGTCGAGAAGTCACTTATTTTTCAAAAACTATTTCATAGAGCTACCGCACCCTTGAAACGCAAAATCGAACTCCTAAAGATAATTATCATTCAGTCAACAACAGTCTTGCCATGTCAGTGTTGCCAGAAATGCAGAATTTTCTGCAATATGCAGAATTTTAGCCTACATGGAGAGCTAATAAAGAAAAGAAGAATATTTTACAAAAACCACTACAATATGAAGAATTTTTTAAATTCACAATGTGAATTTAAAAAATTCTTGAATTGAATTCTTGAATTTCACATATTTTTTTTCATTTTTAAATTTTTTTCAATTTTCTAAATTTAATTCTTTAACTCGATTTTAACACTGTAATATGATTTAAAATTTAGTAGGTATATTATATTTTAAGGATTTGCATGCATGCACATGTTTATTTTGTATTAGAGATTTATTTAAAAATGCGTTCAAGTGAAGATTCTCAAGGGTAAATATTACAATTTTAAATATGTATGCATATTTATTAATTAAATGAGTGCCTTTGCCACAGCAAATAATAATTAAGTATTTTGTATCTTATTTTAATATTTTCCAAAATCCTCGAACAGGGTGGCTCTGTGAAACACAAGTGAAGACACAAAATTTGAATGTCGATGGTGTAATGCAATACTTTATAAGGGTGTTTTTAATAATGAATGATGTGAAAACAAAAAAACGAAACAGACTTCAAGAAAATACTTTGAATTCATCGATTAATTTCCTTTGCGTATTTCGTACCCATTTTAAAAATACAGGTACAAATTCTGCAAAAATGTCTGTCACCAAAAAACATTTAGATTTAATGAAATTAAATAATTTATTTAATTCCTAAATCATGGTGTAGTTTTTTGTTCTGCCTATAAAAATAATTCATTTTCTTTAATTTGTAATACTTTATCTCCTGTGTACCACAAAAGATTTTTGACTTTTAAAAATATTTTTTTTATTATTATTAAGTACCTTATGCAGTCAGAAGGTTTTTTATCGAATGACGTTTTACATCTCTGCAGAAATATGAAGAATTTTTAAGGTTAAATTGAAGAAAATTGGGATAAAGAATCTGGCAACACTGTGCCATGTACTAAATGTTGTATAAATGGCATAATTTTGTTTAAATTACATTAAATTATGTTAAATGCTGGCTAAATCAAGCTTAAATTTCGTATCATAAATAATAATTATGAAACACTTTTAATACTTTCAGATAGTGCTGTTATCTCAAATAACCACAGAGGCTGGCCAATGCCGGGCATGGATCCGCTTGGCTCTAAACGACTGTCTGCTTTCATCCTACTTGGTAACATTGAGACAACTGGGCTCTTCTTTAAAGTCATTTTACAAAACGGGCGCTTATGTACGCGACGCGGAACTGCTCGATCTAACGCAAAGACTTGTAGAAGGCGTCGAGTCCTTCCACACCTTCACCTTGCCGTGTAACTCGAGCTTACTGAACACATGGCCTTTGCAGAGTTTGTACTTGGCAGGGATTTGGTCGCCTACACTGAAAGCCTGCCCGGTGGCGCCGTGCGACGATGTAGCTCAAAGTATAAACGAAACTTCAAGTCCGCAACCTATACCAGACATAGAGGTAGCATCAGTGAGCTCCTTATCGTTGGGCTCGCAAGCTTCAGGTCTAAGACAAATCGTCTCGTTCAGCGAGGACGAAGTCCTAAAAATCATCCTTAACAAGGACAAAGACAATAGCTGCAGCTCGCAGAGCGAAAGCGAAAGCAAGACTAGCGAAGCTGAGAGTTCCAACGTGATAGTTGGGAATTCGTTGAAGCAAAGAAGTGGGTGGTCTTTCGATGAAAATCAACAGGATAAGATGGAAGAAACAGATGAAGAGCAACCAGCGGTTGAACCGCCTAAACCCGCCAACGAACCGAAATCCACCGAAGCTAGCTTCAACGCTCTTATAGAAAGCTACAACATGCTCAGCGGCGGTTTTATAAGAACTCCCGATTTAAGGGACGTTTGGCAACGTTTCGAGGACGATAAGCGTGAAGAATCACCAACTGAACATTCTCCGGAGGTGGCACAAGGTTCCCCGATAAGCCCGATTATCAACAAATCCGAATCGACCGCATTGGCCATTCAAGTAGTTAAGATATGCAGGGAAAAAGGTTTAAACAGTCAGAATTTTGAGTGCATGGGATGTCAGGTGCCTCTGAAAATAGCAAATAAACCAAAGTAAGTAAAAAATGTTGATTTGTAGCTAATATTTAATACAGTTTCTTTGTAGAATATGTGCCTTCACTGGGGAGTATTACTGTGCATCCTGTATGAGCCCAGAATTAATAACAATTCCAGCCCGAATTATTCACAATTGGGATTTTAAGTTGTATGAAGTGTCGCAGAAAGCCTTCAATTACATAGACGAAATAAAAGATCACCCTACCATTGATTTTAAGGTATTTATCGTTTGCGCAGCAATATTAATCCTACTGCGCATCTATTTATATCTACTTTCAGATTGTTAATCCGTTCATTTATGGAGCTGTAGAAGAAATGGCCAGATTGCAAATTTTGCGTAACCAGTTAAATTTCCTAAGGGCCTATTTGTACAGTTGCAGGGAGCCTATAATAAAATCTTTGCAGAAAAAAATGTGGCCAAGGGAGTACATGTATGAGCACATACATCAATATTCGGTTGCTGTAAGTTTTTCAAAAATTATTTACTGTCATAAAACTAAAAGTTTTTTTTCAGGATTTAGCAGAGATAAAGAATGGCGTTTTAGCCTCTTTGTTACAAAAGGTTGTGGAATTTGGTAGAGAACATGTGTATGGATGTTGGTTGTGTAGTCAAAAAGGCTTTTTATGCGAAGTTTGTAATAAACCCAAGCCTTTGTTCCCGTTTGATGTCGAAAATACATACAGGGTAAATTTTCTCCCATTTTTTTTTTAATTATTTTTCTTTTTCTTTTAGTGTGACAATTGTAGCGCTGTTTATCACAAAGGTTGCCTCAATTCTTTAAAGCCCTGTCCCAAATGTGAAAGAAGAAAGAAGAGGGAAGACTTACCGCTTCTTGGTGCTATAACACTTGATTGATCAATTCATGTTGATTATTGTTTCCCAAATAAACTATTTTAATATTTATCTATTATGCTTGTGAGACATTTAAAATAAAACGTTTTGTATTATTACTAATAGTCAGTTTTATTAATTACAAATATACAAAGATAATCTACAAAAATTCAAGTCAATAATAAAATTTTCAATATGGAATGCAAACAATCTCGGACTGTCCAAATAGTAATTTTAAAACAAATTATTAATTTGGTCCCTACTAAACTGGTATATGTGTATAAAATATTTAAACAAATTTGACTTGACCTGGAACTATTTGGTGTGATTCATCAACAAATATAATAAATAATTTGTAAGTAACCATTATGGTAACAGATCCATTAATTAATTTCTAGTTACATGAGCCATCTCTTTGTTAACAATTATTAAATTTATGTATATCACTAAAAATAATTAGTTTCATATTATGACACACCAATAACTGTTAATATACAGTTAGTTAAACAATTACTTCGGAGGTTTAGTATCAGTTAAGGCACGGTGACTACTTCTAATGGGTAAAGGGGAGGAGGGCGTTTTTGGACTCGCCGACTTCGTTTTCTTTATTTTAATCCCCCCGTGATTCTTCTGGTGATTCCTCTCGTGAGCATACAACAAAACGCCAATGTGTCGATGACCGGCCTCCATCGCTATCTTAAGAGCCGTACTGCCGTCCTAAAAAAGAAAATAAAGTAAATTTTTCGTAAGGGTATATCGTATATGACTTGTTAACTTACCACATCAGTTATACTGGAATCACAATCAGGATGACTGAGGAAATGCTTCACGATTTCAATATGGCCGTGCTCAGCTGCACACATCAGCGCAGTGCTGCCATCTTCATCCTGGATGTTGATGTCGGCGCCAGCTTCCAGCAACATTGAAACCATATCCAGGCGACCGTGGCTTACGGCTAACATTAAAGCGGTTTGGCCGTGCTAAAAAATAAACCCTGGTTATACGGAAATAATCTTGCTTGTGGTGACATACTTGTTTGGCACGTATGTTAACATCGGCGAGTTGGAAAAGTCTTCTAACTACGTTGGCGTGGGTGTCGGACTTTACTTTGGCCAGTGATACCAACATTACGCTGGTGTAACCGGTGTTGTTGGGTTTGTTAATATCACATACTTTGGAGTCCAGTAAAATGGAAACAACGTCGAAATTACCGTGCGATACAGCGTAATGCATGGCGGTGTTGCCGCTGGCGTCGGTCATATTGACCACATATTCGAGTAGAATTGAAGACATGTCTTCGAAGGCGTCCAAATAGTCTTCGACGTTTAAAGGATTTGCTGTGACCAGGCTGGAAACCTTGAACCACTCTTGCTGCACTATGTTGATAGCGCTGGGATTTTTGACCGCCTTCGAGGGGTTTTTGAGCAGCGAGTCGTTGAGGACTTTCATGGCACCCTGCATTTCCTTGCTGGGCACAGCCTTCTTGTGATTTTGATTGTTTGGTATTGTGTGGTAAGAGCTGCTCTCCGGTATGGGCAGTGTTATTTCTTGTACGTGGACTTTCGTTATCGACGGACCATTTTGAGCGGCACTGGTCGTCGAAACATCGGGGAATTTGAAATTTTGCTTCACTTTTTCCAAAGGACTCGTCTCGTTTGATATGGACTTGGGCGAGAGGTCTAAACCTGACAACCTAAAACAACGCAGAATATAACAACACAATTATTGTATAAAAATCATGATACCTTGTTATTAGGATATGTTGATGCATATAAGAACAGTGAGCATTTTGATTACAACCTTCTTTTGATGTTAACATTCGTTTGATTTTGCAAAATTAACTCATAATAAGCGATTTAGCAGCCTAATTACAAAGGCCACTATTCTCTTTGTTTTGACTGTTTATCCTGTCAATAGTCCTGGATGAGAACTGCGCGCGCATGCGTCGCGCGCGCTTAATTGATTTTATCGCCCGGGAATGCATTCAAATCTACTCACCTCAAAGACGGCGGACTCTTTTCGGCGTTGTATAATTTCGTGTAAGTATCCTGCCTTCTGAACTTTCTCACTTCCACTGGAGTCGTCGGTATTTGCGGTCTTGGTATTCTCGATGGAGTTGGACTTCCGCTTCCGTCCTTTTTCGAATTTTCCTCCTTCTCCCTATTAGCGCACTTCAGGCAACTTTCTTTTTCGGTTAAGTCAGCTTCACACGCTTTATCGCTCAATTTTTTCAACTTTTCCTTCGCTTCGCAGGCGACGTGTTTTTTGGGAGTAACCAAGTCTTTGGTGTCAGTTGTTTTAGTTGCCGATGATAATTTCTCCGATTGCGTGTGTTTTTCGGCTAATATTATTAACTCGTGCTGACAAGACTTCGATGATGATTTCGGCGAGGCTTGACATGAGCGCGACATATTAGAAGATTCGTACTGACACGACACAGTGCGTTTTCTAGATGCGAGATTCAATTTATCCTCTCCCATATTGAAGGATTTGCTTCTTGGTACTGTGAGGGATGCCAGTGATATTGGGGATGGTCCGGTGTGGGAGTCTTCGGTAGTATCAGGCCCAACTGCGCGCGACACTTTTTCTACTGCGCAGCACTTGCAGAGTACGTCGTTAATGGTATCGCTCGATATGGCTACGGTGCGACTTTCTATGGACTTTTGATGGTTGAAATCTGTAGTTTTCGGTTGCGCCATGGTGGAAACGTTCGTATTTGGCTTTTTAACTTCGATGGTTTGCGATTGGGAGTCCACCAAACGCGTTTTAGCCTCAATTGTTTGCACGGTGACATCGCGTTTTTCCTTGGACTGTATGGTTTGGGTGCCTTTATCTTTACCGGGGACGGTCAAGTTTTGGTTGTTCATAAATCTAACTTTTTCCGTGAACCATTTATCAGCATTCCCGTTCTCCAAATCGCTGAACGTCGTCGTCGACACGCTTTTGGTGTTCGGGTTTTGGTGACCGACTCCGACGTTTCTGGTCAAAACGCCGCACATAACCCCGAAGTCTTTTCTCGGCGGGGGCGGAGGTGGTTCTTTTTTTTGCTGCAAACCATCCAAGTTGTCTATGTTGTTGAACGATCTCGATCTGTTCTTGTTGTTCAGGTAGTTCACTTCGATGTTGTTCAGTCTCTGTGTCTCTTCGGATTTTAAGCGTAGTTGTAACTTGCGATTTTCTTCTTTTAAACTTGAAATGTGGTCCTATAAAAACATATCAATGTTACATGCGGGTACCAATGTTTGTATTTTATTTGATTTACATTTATCGAGTTATCAGAATGCAGGGGATTGAAAAAAGTCGCTTACCTTTAGATCTGGTATCAGTTTGACTTGGTCCTCGAGCAGTTTGGTTCGCTCCAAAGACAATGCCATCTGTTCTCTGATGTTCTGCAGGGCCACGGGACTCAGTCCGCAGGATTCGATGCTCGCAGTGTCAAAATCCTGCTGTACAGTCACCTCGTTGGACGGTTGCAGCACTGTCATGCTGGATCCAGAAGCCGATGACATAGAAGAATTCGACGGAACCCTTCGTATGTTTTCTAGACATACCAAAGCACGAAAACAAACACTGTAATCTTTATCTCGATCGTTGAATTTATCGGCGTACGCGATTAATCTACCGATAAAATAAACCAATAAACGGCTAAACGCGCTTATGGCGCACGATATAAAGTCTTTCTCCATCCTTTCGACTGCACCGAAATTATTTAATTCAGCAATGAAAGCTATTAAAGAATTTAAAATCGTGACGTGCGCATGCGAACGCGAAACGCAACAATGAACAATTGTCTGGCTCTAGTGAACATCGCTGCCAGCTAAAAGCGCTATTTTTCTTTCGTAGCTTATTTACATAAATTACAACAATGCAAAATGACCAGGTAAACCGATTCACGAGAAATGCGATAAATAGGCTCTGCGGGGCATGGATAGAGGTACTTTAGTATGTTATAACACCCAATAAATACAAAGCGCATTTTAACAGATAATTATCTGATTATAATCATAAAAAGTATATTCTTATTACCTATATAGGTAACCATTTCTTACTATTTAAAAAGCTACGAAAATATTTCATTTGTTCCGGCCTGAATCAATTTGGCTATACGTCGAACGTCGACAGATATTGCTGTCGCAAATGGGACCAGTGGCTGCCCATCAATTGCCTAATAATCACCTTAAGATGTTTTAAATCAAAAACATTAGCACCAATGCAAAATTGATGAAAAAAAACTTGCTTATACCATGCCATATTTTTGTCCCTATTTGAAAAGTATAATAAATACTTTTATCCGGAAATCGGCAGTAAAGTAGTCAACAATCGGCAGTAAAGTAAAAGAAATCGGCAGTAAAGTATAACTTTACTGCCGATTTAATACGAGTGTTGTATGCAACCCATTATACATTTTAAGATGTGTCTACCGGTCCTCAGCAGCAACTAAATAATATTTTAAAAAAAGCACCGTCGCGGAAGTCGATTGGACCCTTTCGTAAAATGTTGTTTAATAAAAATAATACGTTAATTTTATTAATTGGATTAAAAAATCGCCGCGGCGGGCAAATATATAATAACCGTCGCAACAAACACTATACGTAGACACTTCCTACATTCAAATGACATTTGATTTGATCATCAAATGACATTTGATTTAATCATCAATATTAATTATTAGTATTATTAAATGTGATTTCGGATAAAATTTAATATGCACCTCGACATTAAAGTCATTTTTTATCACTCACGTGGTTATTTCCACATTCGTGATAAAAAATACTTTACTGCCTTGATACATAAATAACTATTCAATAATTATTGTATTGTATGGAAAAAAGTATTTAATTCTATTTGAGAACCCTAGAAGCCAATTAAAAAAAAATGTAGTTATGTACAAAAAAAGATAGTAAATGGTACATTTTACTTATCCCAAGGGATATAACTGAATTCTAAGCTTAGACATCTTAAAAAACAAAGTCATAAAACAATAAACAATTTTGACTACAAATTACAAGTGTTTTTTGTTACTTTAAACATGATTATTTCAAAACTATGTACTACAAACTAAATTTTAGTTGACAATTCGTATCATACGTTGACGTTTTAATTTCTCTATCTTATGTTCTGTGATGTCTATGGTATCATATATTTTAAATCCCCCACTTATGAACTAACTATGCGCATAAGGCAAAATGATACGCCAAATTAGCAAATTTACCCTAAAAAAAGGTCATATATATAAAATATAGCGAATAAGCGGTATGTGTTACATGGGAAGAGTGATTCCATCTATCGTATTAAGCTCAAAATCAGTGTAGGTAACTGTAATTGCAGGTCACTGTCATACGCACATAACCTATAATGTCAAACTTCGCAAACTTCTATTTTAAAAGATCGTAATCATTTGCTTTATTTTGTAAAAAACCACTTCAAGTTTAATTTTTGACAAAATTTCCAAGGAAATTGTATAGGACCACTGGAACTATAAGCCAACTGAATGGGTTAGGGGTAGAAACGGACCAACTATCGAAACACTTTGATAATAAAGATTAAAAATTAATAGAACACGATGACCGACCCCGTGAAAGTAAACAATTCTAGTAAATTCTTGGAAAATCATAGGCGGTACATAGAAAACTATAAAATTTGTAATAAAAACTGGTTTTACGAAATTAAGTAAGTTATTAAACATTTTTATGTAATTACGTAGTAATTTAGTTGCATCACTTATAAATAGCTTTATATAAAGGAAAGTTTAGGAAAAATTGAACAATTAATAATTTTTCTGGTTTTATTTAATTTTTATGATCTAAATTTACAATAATACCTTATTTTTGTTAAATATCAAACGCATTAAAAAATTGCGCACACATTTTTTTAGATATATAGAAATATACACCAATAATTTAATTTCAAACTAATAACCATGCTATAGTAAAATATTAGAGGCTTACCATAGTAAAGAAATTCTTGATTGCACCCATATGCACTATTGGTGTATACGCAGGTGCAGTCCATTGTACTCTGTTGTTATTTACAGTAAAAACAAGTGCATTTATTTTACGCTATGCTGGCCGACCAATGGGAACGCTCAAATATATTCCGAAGCAAAACGGAAGTTATTATTTTAGTGCCCTACGCTCAAGCTGTTTGTTCTTTGCTTATTTTTGGAACCTTTGTTTTGTGAGATTTTAAAAATTAAACTTACTAAGAAATGGTTAACCTTCTCTAAGGATTATTTAATACGTATTTAAAGAGTTAATCTCTATTTACCTGGTTCTTACGCACTATCATAAAAACTAAACTATTATGATAAATGTCACCTTTGCGACCGACCTTAACTACAATAATTTCGTATTAAATGCCCATCATCTATTTATTTTACACACATTAATTGACTTGCTAATTTATGCCAGTTTATATAAATATATTGAACAAATATATGTACGCGATTTTTTGCGTTAATGACCTTAAAGCCACATTTATTTTGTTCAAGTAAATAAAAATTTAGAAAATTCACGCGAGTTATATTAAAAATATAGAAAAGTAACTTTTTTACAGGAAAAAACTTTTTTACTAACCTGACACAGCAGTGACATCTGGTAAATTGTGGGACAATTTATTTTTGGAGGACCTTTGGAGTGTTCTTTCAAAATCAGATACAGCATCATTGAAACCATCATGGTTGAATGTAAAATGAACATTGAGTTCTTGTTTTTGCACTAATTTTGGTGATTCTTGTTCCTGAATCGACTGAAAAAAAGATTTTTGCAATAAAGTCTTTAATTTTTGTTTTAGACCAATTATATATTTATATACAGTGCTTGCAAATGCAAGTCCGACCGCACTGGAAAGGACGGCTGTTCAATACCCGCGTGAAAAGAACAAGGATAGAACGCCAAATAGAATTTGATTGGCCAGAGCCCCGGATGCGTGCGAATTGTAAGCGAGGTCAACTCTGGGCCAGAGTCTCTGGCTGCATTTAGACTAAATGATTTAGCAGCGTTGCCAACCCTACGGATTTTTCCGTAGATCTACGGATTTTAAGGGTCATTAACGGATAACCGGATTTTGTCTGAAAATCTACGGATATTTAGACATTATCGCATAATTCATAATTACTTGATATTTTATGTATTAAAACCTGCGACAAGTAAAAAATTGCTTGAAACCCTTTTTATATTTTCTAACTATTTCGCTCCGTCCAGTAAACGGCAGGTATAAACCCTTGCACTGAACGTACTAATGGAACGTTTCATGGAAGGCACTCATTAGTTTAGGAATTTTGTGTTTGTTACCAGCAGGTTACCAGAAAAGGTGCTGTCTGTCAAAAAGATGCTGTGAAAAAAATGGCAACTAAAGTTTTAAATTTGTTTTGGTATCTATTTACATTTAAAAGTTTTTTATGCATGTATCACACTAAAAATGGCAACTAAAGTTTTAAATTTGTTTTGGTATCTATTTACATTTAAAAGTTTTTTATGCATGTATCACACTATTAGTATCTAATTACATTGTTTATAAATGTATACATATATGTATTTATGGAATGTGTAAATCTTAAAAGCGCCAAGCACTACTAAGAAAGCGCCACCTTGCGCCAAATGTCAATGCTAAATAACTGAACAACTACCAATCAAAATTTTTAGTGAAAATTCGTAAATCTATCCAAGTTTCTAAGTCGCCGCGGTGCCTGCCACCTCTTATCCTTGGTACGGATAAATGTCCGGATTTTACCCTTCACCCACGGATTTCTACGGATATTTGACTAGAGAACTCAGGATTTTTCGAACGAAAAGGTTGGCAACGCTGTGATTTAGTGTTAAGCAAACTGCGTTGGAGTGGAGATGCACATTTTAATTTTCTTTTTAAATATTTTATACCCGAATCCTAAAAATAAAATGTTTTGATTTTTTTCCTTGAGAACTAGGGCAACAACAAAAATAGTATTCTTAATAAAAAAGATTTCTTAAATAAAAATAACTAAAAATAAAAATAAAACTCTAAATAAAAATATAGACCAGTGCAGAAGCCTTTAAAAATGGTAAAAAGAGAAAAAAAATAACAGTAGGATGAAACCCATTGGAAAAGGAGGGGAATATAATAAAAATTAAAGGAAAAATAAATTACGGGCGATCTGAGTTCGGGAAGTGAGAGGGGGGGGTTTAAGGGTAAAAAATGGTTTATCTCGATTTCCGGCAAAACTACAAGTCCTATGGAAAAAAGTTAAATGTCAAAGTTGTAGGTAATAAAAAGATCTACAACTTCTGTATTTACAATTTTTTCACATAACCTCAAAATTTATGTGAAAAAATCAAAAAACCAAGTTTTTGGTTTTTTATTTTTATCTTTTTCAAAAAAAAATTTTTTCCATGAAATTTGGTGAAAACTTACCTTTTTATGTCCCAAATACACTGTAATTTATTTGATTTGAAATATTTATTATTTCGCCTTATTTTGACTTAATATCAAAAAAGCACCCTAATTTTCAATCGAAAATTCTCGCGTGAAAATATCAGCTTTTTTCAAAAAGTCGTTGTGCTTTTTGTTCGATGAACTCTCTACTTTCTGATGGTGTAAAAAAATATACATTACTATGGTAAATGTTCTCAGAAAATACAAAAAATATTATAAAGTTTTCACCAAATTTCGTGGAAAAAATTTTTTTTTTGAAAAAGATAAAAATAAAAAACCAAAAACTTGGTTTTTTGAATTTTCCCCATAAATTTGGAGGTTATGTAAAAAAATTGTAATTACAAAAGTTGTAGATCCTTTTATTACCTACAACTTTGCCATTTAACTTTTTTCCATAGGACTTGTAGTTTTACCGGAAATCGAGATAAACCATTTTTTACCCTTAAAACCCCCCCTCCCACTTCCCAAAGTCAGATCGCCCGTAATTTATTTTTCCTTTTATTTTTATTATATTCTTCTCCTTTTCCAATGGGTTTCATCCTACTTTTATTTTTTTTGGTTTCAAAAATTATCGACCCTGGTCTAATAAAACTCTAAAAATAAATAAACTGAAAAATTAAATTAAATGTTCGAACAAGCAATTATTAACGATTCGTCGAATTGTTTCTCTGTTTGGTCTGGCCTCGAACATTCCCGCAAATAATCTTTGAATTTCTCGTTCAGAATTACCAGCAAAATGCCAGATTAAAATCTGAACTTTTTGTTCCAACGTGTACCTACATTTTTTAATTAAATAATCTTTTTTACTAAAATTACTACCTCTTGGCAAGAGGCTCTTGCTGGCACCACTGCAGTTCTCGTTCTAATCAGAGATAAAGAAGGTTCTGGTTCTAATATCCTCGTGTCAAGCACGCTGCGAGGTGCGCGATGGGTATGCGTTGTCGTAGCCTGCCGGCTGGCCAATCAAATTCTATTTGGCGTTCTATCCTTGTTCTTTTCACGCGGGTATTGAACAGCCGTCCTTTCCTGTGTGGTCGGACTTGGATTTGCAAGCACTGTATATACGAGGTGTCTTCACAAAATAACGGGAATTGTTAAATTTCGCGGATTCGGAGGGTCCGGTTGTCATAAAAAAATTTTTATTATGTTGGTATACATGCCCCCGAAGTTTGATAAAAACTTTATCTGTTTTCATTGTTTACTTTGTCTGTGCCAGCCGCTAAGGTTAGACGTGTTTTATGAGCTCGGCGATTTTCTTTCGTTAAAAAAAATGGATCAAAGAATTTGGTATCCAATTTTGCTTAAAAAATTAAATAAATTCTGTGAAATGTTAACAAAGGCCTATAGTGAGTCTGCTATAAGTAAAACAAGAGTTTACAAGTGGTATAAGAGTTTTCAAGATGGCCGTGAAGACGTTGAAGATGACGAACGCACAAGCACATTAACAACCGATAAAAACATGGAAAAAGTGGAAAAAATGGTTATAAACCATCAGAGAAGTCGCTGATGATGTTGGTATATCGATTGGCTCAACCCATGACATTTTTTCGAATATTTTAGGTATGAAACGCGTGGCAGCAAAATTTGTTCCAAAATTGTTAAATTTTGAACAAAATGTTTGGCCAAAAACAATACTTTAATGATGACCTAGCTTCCATATTCGCCAGACATGCCTCTGTCTGACTTTTTCCTATGCCCAGCGCATCGCTGAAAGAACTAAAGGCTAACCCAAAGATCGAGTTTTGGAAGAAGAGCTGGCACATTTTCTGAACACACCTCGTATATATATTTTAAGCTTATAACAATTTTCATATGAAGAGGCTTTAAATTTATACGTAGTTCAAAAGTTAAATTATTATACACCGCCGTACAATAATGAAATTACAAAGGAAGAGTGGTTCCATCTATCGCATTTACTTTGAAATCAGTGTAGGTAACTGTAAAATTACAGGTCACTGTAGAATAAATTCATGCACATGTCAAATTTATCTCAGCTAACACTGAGCTTACTTTCACTTTTGTTATTTTGTTCTATAATTTGTTAAATGTTAAATTTGTTAATGTAATTTTAATAATTATTAATTTGTATAATCGCACAAAAACGGCAAAAAAAATATTTTGACTACTTAGTTTTCTAGATACTCTATTAATAGCTCCATTTCCACGAATAATAATAATTTTTGACTAGAAAATAATATCAAACAAACATCATTGTTTCCGTTGTGTGGGCACGAATTGACATTCTTGCATAAATAATGTCGGTAATTTTGCCTACTTACCTTATAATTTTGCTCTAACACACTTAAAACTGCAGGCGTTAATCCCAACAATACTTCCATAGACTGCCTTTGCCTGCGCCTATCCTTACGCCGTTTTATGGACCCTGTCTTATCATTTTCCAGCTTACCAAAAGACTCGCAGTATCGTACGAAATCTAGGTCTATGTGATAACCATAGGGGCAACAAGTGCATTCATACCAGCTATAGCCTAAAATTAAGACCAATTAGTATCAATTAAAGTTATATTTTAATAGGAAAATGTCCAACACCGTATCTCGTGTGACATAATTATAACCCTTTTAAATATTTAAACTGCACCTAGGTAGGTATATGTTCTCAAGAAGGATTTATAGTGGGTGTTCACTATTATATTAGAAAGTAGGTGTTATTTAAACATTTGCACTTATTAGGTAACAATTGTTTAAATGTTTCAAAGTTGAAGAAGACTTACCGTTTTCATTCGCCTTGGTAATATTTTGCGTATACAGCGACATTTTTACACATCAATTGGAATTTGCCTTACTAAAATTAATAATAATAAAACCTTAGATAACATTCATTATCTTATTATTTATATTTTAATTAATGAAATACCTGTACCTCCAAAAATAGCATCAAAGGGTAGGATATAGCACGAAAAGGAAGTAATTTTTCGACATTAGGATTTTTTTTAGCACATATGCAAGTCGTTTACCCCGACTATTTTTAATTCTAATGAATGAAGTTATTTTAAACGACTTTTTATTCATTTTCGTTTAAGCAGATCTAAAATTAAATGCTCCCAACTTAGCCAAACTATTATTATTTTGCTTTTTGTGTTTACAAACTTAGATGTGTAAGTTTATTGTTTAAATATGTTATTAGTTAGTTAATATGGGCGTACAATTTTATTTCATTCAATATTTACTTGACCTAGTATTTAAACTCTATTCAATAATAATCGACAAGCCTACATTAAAATTTGGCTACATTTTTATCTAGTTACTAATATTGACATAAAAAAATATTATCGCTTAAACCCCTCATATTTTAACACGAAAAATTAAGGCAGTAATATCACCTTGGGTTGACAAACTTAAGACAGTTTTATGAAGCTTAAATTGACAGAAACAACGAAGTAATAATAATTTTTGGTTTTAGAGGTTTTTAGTTTTTTCAAATATTTTGAGAACCACTGACTTTTTTTTCCAATTAATAAATTTCATTTTAATAGGCAACTTTTCTCTAATTTAACCGACCTTCAAATAAAAAAAAATACCCAAGTATACTTGGTGCACCCTGTATAAAGTTTATAATTTGACATTCTTAACAGCTAGCTAATTTTTAAATATTAAATCTCAATTAAAATAAATTTCCATTGGACGATTAGAGTTGTCTATTTTTTTATGCTAATCCTACCTATAAATTACCTTGCGATTATTATTAGGAATTGATTAACACATGTTCAAAATATTTATTAAGAAATGTTAATGAATACTGAATGAAATATTAATGACATAATAAAAGTTATGATTTTGCAGTATGTTCTAAAAATGATGAATAACCTAGGTAGGTATAACTTTATAAACAGATAATTTGCATAGATTTTGTAATTTAATGCCAAATGCAAGTGGATAATCAACAGGTGTGTGTGCTTTCTTAAATATTTTGCAATTTTTGGATAGAAATGTTATTTTGCAAATATTCCAATTAGGATACCTTTTTATTGGAATACAAAGGTACATATTATGTCATTTAGCATTGTAATTTCAAATCATCGCTAAAAATAGTTAGCACAACAGGTATTTTATTTATTTCAAGTAAATTTGATAATTTATCAATTAAAAAACACGTAACTAAAACTTAAACAAAACAACAGGTGGTGGCATCAAGTAATTCGATACGAAAAATAATACAAAATAAAAACACCTACCAAATTCCAAAGAAGTCAAATTGAAAATAAACGAAAAAATTACACAAATCACACAATTCCGACGACAAACAACGCAATCAGCAAAATAGGTTTTAAATACTATCGAACACCATCACTTTCGCACTACTTTTAATAGATAAATCATTTTTAAATCACATTATTGCAAATATACACATTTATATTACAATCCACTGGCAGCTGTAAAAGACTACTTAACAATGGACAACGAACTTTAAGAGCAATTTAGTACGCGTGCGCAGGCATCTCTACAGGTGATTTTTATTATTATTATTCACAGCCTCCACCGCGTAGGTATATTTTTGTTATTTTACAAGTAAATTTAATCTCATTAAACCTTTTTCTCAAATATAAACAATAATAAAGATAAAAGAAAATTCGTCTTGTTTGATTTTAAATATTTAAACTTGTTTCGTTGACAAACAAAGTTGTTTAATAAAAAATTCACAACAATAGTAAAAAGCGTTAACTGCTACAAAATATCTTATCAGTGAAAACAAGAAGAATAAAAAATAATTTAAATTTAAAGTGTAATCTTGTTTGCCTACTTACATAGGTCGCCATCTGTTGAGGATTGTTGGATGTAGTAGGCGCATACTGTACAGAGATATCTCTGATACTATACCGTATGTTTTAGTTGGTGTAACCTTGGTTGCCTGCGTAAAGTGTAAACAACATATGAATGGCGATCGTTTATTTTAAGGTATGAATATTATGTTAATATCATTTTATTCAGTTTTTCCATGACATTTATTGATATTTTAAACATTTTATGCCGCATGTCTACTATTTTATTAAATTTATTGCTTTTAAGTTGTTAATAAAATATCCTCTATTTTTATAGGTACAAAAAAGAACTTTTATTAATATGACTGTTTATTAATTTTCTAATTGACTGCAGATTTTTTGTTGTGATAAGTTTTAAATATCTAATGAATTACGTAAGCTAATTAGGAGTTAACAATATCTAGATATACTTAAACATAAATAATTTTGAAGGTCAAGGTTTTCAATTTTCAACAAATTTTGCCCATTTGGATACCTACCTATTAGTTAAATTTTAATTTGCTGTTATAGGTATTAGTGATTACACAAATATAACCCAATAGAAGAAATGTTATTGTAGGTTATTTATTCCTGTTTTTTGTGATAATTGCCCTACCTAGGTAATAAAATTTTTATTGATTTGGTTATATTAGTAGAATTTTTATTAATTCTTATTAAGCCGTAATAAAACTAAACATCAAGTTTCAGAACAATTTTTGTTATTTATAGGTAATTAGTTAAAGAAATAAAAGAAATTGCACAAATTTATACTGAAAAATAAATTGCAAAACTAAAATATATCAGAAAAGCCATATGCTAGTTATTGCACACACATAAGAATTATATACAGCGAATTTAGAAGGGTTTATGAAATATATAAAAAATGTAAAATGTGCAGTCGTAATTTTTTATTCATAATTTTGGTTTAACCAAAAACCCTTTTTAAAATCTTTTACGTAAAACATGAGAACAAAACTTTTGCGGTTGACTAATTGTTTTTTGGACTATTTTGTTAATTAGGTAGGTAAGTATTCTACTGTCCCCAAAAAACTGATAAATTAAAAAATGCATTTTATATACTAATCTATATAATATTTTAAAAGTGCAAAAACCATAATATAAATTACACTACCCTATTGAAAATGCCATAAAGAACCATATAAAAAACACGTATCTGGATTCTATATGGTTTCTATCTGGTTCAATATAGGTATTTGAAACAGGCATTTCACTATAGAACCAGATAGAAGATTACATTATAGAACCAGATAAAAACACTCTAAAACACTATAGAACCAGATAGGAAAACCTATCTGGAAATACATATAGAACAGAAACCAGATAAATCCATATACATGTCTTTATAAAGACATGTATATGGTTGTATATGGATTTATCTGGTTTCTGTTCTATATGTATTTCCAGATAGGTTTCCCTATATGGCTGAATATGAAAATTTTTAAAATGGAAATCCATATTCAACCATATAGAATCCGTAATGTAAACCAGGAATTTCCATATAGGACCTATAAAACCATATAGAACCAGATACGTTTCCTTATCGGATTCAATATGGGTTCTATATGGCATTTTCAATAGGGTAACCAAAAAAAATTGTATATATATATTATATAATATATATATTATATATATTTTTATACAAAATTATATATTATATAATTTTGTATAAAAATGCGGTTAGCAATGTTCGAGTTTTTTACCTTTCAGTAAAAACCCCGTTTGGAACAATCAAAAAATTCCAATACTGTCATTTCTATCTTACCTTACTTTTTACTTTTGATAATTATTATTAGATATAATTGTAACTTTTTATCTTTAATAGGATTTACAATTTTTGTGTTAAACATTTTTAAAGGAAGGTACCTAAAAAGGTTTATGTAAAGGGATCCCTCGATGTTTATACATTTATATATACATATATGATTAAGAGATTATACTTATACTTATTCTATATTAGGGTATTAAAAAAATCGTTTTTTCACTCAAACTTAAAAGGTTTGAAAATGTTTCATTGAAATAACATAGGGAAAAAAGTTGTATACAGGGTGTTTCTCCTCAAAATGGACACATATTATCCATTATGTATCTACTTAAGTATAAATTTATAACCCTTTTAGGGTTAATTATATTGATTCTTAAGGTAATTTAGGCTGCTGCTAGTAGGTATATATATTTTAAATGCAAATAAGTTTTAATGCATAAATTTAATGTTGCTTTTTTAAAAAAATAAAACTAAATGGTTTTAATATAGTTTTAAAATTTTTCTTGAAGACCCTTTTTGGGTAGAAGCTGCTTTATGATGTTCCTGAGGCTGTCTTGAAGATCATTTGGTTTTATTCAAAGTTTTATTACTATCTTGGAGATCGCAATAAGAGCGTTGTTATTTTGTCATTTTATAACTTTTCACTGAAATGAAATAAGCAAGTTGGTTCCCACAGAAATTCAGTAAGCCGCTTTGTTATCAGTTGTTCCCTTCTTCGTTAATGAAAAGAAAATTTGTTCCTTAAAAAATAGGACAAATTATCCTTATCCTGAGTAGGTAAAGAAAAACCGGTTTTCCAACACATTTTTTCTATGGAGAGTAACATGTGTTGTAACGTCTATTTTCGCCCTTTTTAATAAAATTATTGTTATATTTTAACAATGTTTGTTTATAATTTTTAAAATTTTTATTCGGATATAAATCTTGTTTGAAAAGATTACATATGTACATTATGTTAATTATGCTAACTTACCCTGTTTTGTATATTAAACTGTTACTTCCTGAAAAACTGGAAACGACAAGTTTTTTATTGAAAAGGGTGCACTTTGCACTTACTAAATTGTGTGTAACAGGTGATGGGTTTATGTTAATAAGTGGTTTATAGGGAAATGGTGATTTATTAATTAATATGGCGCCTTAATTAACAATCTCTAATCGCCTTGAAATAAAATGATAACTATTTTCCAATAAAATGACCATTAAGTATTGGTGATTAATTTTGATATTTTTTGAAAAATTTGGAGACACGTGAAGTTCAAGGTTTTTGTTTTTGAAATATTCGTCATGGCCACAGGATTTTGATAATTTATTTGTTTATTTATTAATGTTTGATTTTGGTAATTTATTTAAAAATTAACATCTTTGAATAAATTTGTGTATGATGGGACAAAAGACGGGACAGTTGCGAAATATAATTAAAAGGATTGAAAGGGGCGAGATTGTAAAATAAATAAGTAATAAAAGACGACGCAGATAAAGTGCCATGGAAAAATGATAATAAAAATGGTAAGGGTTGGTTTATGCAAATGGAATCGCGAAACCGGTCGGTGAATAGACAACATATTTCAGGAGGAACATCTTCTATAGCTATAGCCTTTCAAATTCACTTGACCATTGCTCAGCCGCTTTTCCTTAGCAAAACCACCCCATTTATTAACCAAGTGGACAAAGGACTTTCGTGGGAATACCCCTTGCGCATTAAAGTGACCCTTACATTAGCCAAGTTGACCTATGCCCTGAGATTCTCTAACCCTTAACGGACTGACCAAAACTGGACATTCCAGTTTTGCAAGTGACACATGCTACACTTTTCGTGAGAACCACGGATGTCCGGCCAAAAAATTTATATTCCACTTTGTTCGATGCGTACCTTCTTCAAAACCGTACAATTGCTCGAAATTTTTCCAGTGGGACCCTTTTTTAACGGCCGAAGCGCGGCTCTGACACTTGCACAATTCCTCAAATTGACCGCCTTTTCAGTCGGCCGTTTTCCTTCAGAAAATACAATCAACATTGATCAACATATCCCATCTAGGATGGAATAGAATTTTCTCAAAAAAATCAACAGGTGCTCATACACTCACAGGCAAAATAATCGATCCACACAAATTTTCGATGCAAATAACTTGTTTATTTGATGTCGGATTTAAACGAATATAAAAGAATATTGTAGATAAATTAATGGACAATCGCTCACATTTTAAAAAATTACTAAAAATTAGAAGTACGTTTATAATATACAGGTTTAAACAAAAAGATGTTTTTTACCATAAGTTTAAGACACTCTGTAGAGTGGCAAAACCGTATATTGTTCTAAATTAAGTTATTTATCAAGTCACATCTATTCTTAACAGTTTTGTTTTTGGTTCACCTCGATATATTTAGGTTGCTACGGTCCATCCATGGCTATGGAGGAATGACAGTAGCAGTTTTGTTGAATCATCCCATACTTGGACATGTCATACACTGCTTTCAAAAGCTATCAAATTGTTTTTTGTCAAATTAATGTTTTAATTTTGAGGTGTCTTCTTACTTTAAAAAATGATTGTCTCCGACTGATGTTGCCCTTTGTACTTTATAAAGTATACTTCTTGTGACGTTTAAAACACTTGCCAAGTGTTTTAAACGTCACAAGAAGTATACTTTATAAAGTACAAAGGGCAACATCAGTCGGAGACATTTTTAAAAGTAAGAAGACACCTCAAAATTAAAACATTAATTTACAAAAAACAATTTGATATCTTTTGAAAGATGTATATGACATGTCCAAGTATGGGATGATTCAACAAAACTGCCACTGTCATCCTCCATAGGCTATGGATGGACCGTAGCAACCTTAGTTCTTCATACAGGAAAATATTGGAAATTGCAATGTTTTTTTAAAAAAATCCATACTTTCCACAAAAATAAATATATCAAGGTGAACCAAAAACAAAACTGTTAAAAATAGATGTGACTTGATAATTAAAACTTAATTTAGAACAATATACGGTTTTGCCACTCTACAGAGTGTCTTAAACTTATGATAAAAAACATATTTTTGTTTAAACCTGTATATTATAAACGTATGTGTATTTTTTAGTAATTTTTAAAATGTGAGCGATTCTCCATTACAATATTCTTTAATATTTGTTTAAATCCGAAATCAAATAAAAAAGATATTTGCGATTGAAATTCATCGAAAATTTGTGTGGATCGATTATTTTGCCTGTAAGTGTATTAACACTATTTTTAGGAAAAAAAACGTAGTATAATAAAAAAACTCTTTCTTGATATTTGCGTCTTCACTTTCCATAGAAAATGATCTCTATAGAAAGCAATAAACGAATCGGATCACACACAGCATGGAGAATGCCGTGCTCTGATTGGCTTAT